AATGTTTCGTTAACGAAACAGAGGTGTTTCGTTAACAAAACGAAACGAAACAAACTAAAAAGTGTTTCGTCACGAAACGAGACGAAACAGGAAAAAACATAACGAAACTAACGAAACAACGAAACGAAACGAAACGTTTCGCCCACGTCTGGACCGGACTGATGTGTTAGCCATTACACCACGCCGCCTACTGCACACCTTAGGAATTAAATAGCTTTACATTATTTAATTTTATAATTTTTATTACCACAAATTTTGGAAGATAAAATTATTTTTTTATTTCAAAAGATAGAGAATGATTCAAACTTTAATAAAAAATTTTGTTTAGTTTAGGCCGAGGAAAAATCAAATAAAAATTTGCACCACAGATCACCCTTCTAGCTTATGAAAAAAATTATTTTATGTACTTATACCTTTCTATCATTTTGGAGGAAAATATTTACAAAATCGTATTTTGGGGATTCAAATGTTCGAAAAATTCCCAAAAAATTCTGACCCAAGGTGTGCGTTTTCCCTCACTCCGACTAGGAATTTGAGGGATCTGAGTTCACGTTGGATTGTTGTCAGACACCTTTCGGGATTGAGTTTTCTAGATTTAATAGAAATAATTTCTAAATTCATGTTGAGACATATACTTTCGGATATTTATTTGGTGACATCCTATCTATGAAATTTCTAAAACAAAAAATTTTATTTAAATCAAAAAAGATTAATGTATAGAATTTTGTCATATCAATAAAAAAAATAAATCGGACCTCATTTTTAGGTAATCAACAATTGCGGTTTTAAATAATATCTTATAGGTAAGCTAAGGTAGGTGTATCTTAAATAGAGCCCGAACCTACGATGTTAAGTATTCCGCATCGGTAATACAATACGGAATACCGACCAATAAAATTTTGAATTTTATCGGTATATATCGGTATTACGTAACGTTTTTATGATACGGAAAACTCTGGGCTCTAATTGTATTTAATGTTAAATTTACCTGATAATGAGGTCCGACCTTAATCAATTTGAATTTATTAAATATATTACATTGCATATTTTTGCGTCCAATCACGAGCCGTCTCGTCATATTTAACACGATCAGTTTTGTACAACTTAAGAGCATCATCACTCATTCCATGAGCTGCGTTTGCATCACCAAACAGAGAGCAAATTGAAACCAAAACTAAAAAGTGAGGAAAATTATTAGATTCGTTAAAGGTTAAGTTTATGTATGGCATTCTTCCCAATTAAAGTTTTCTTTCGTGTATCAGTTTTTGATTAGTTTTTAAAAGCAAAAATGATTTTATTAATAAAATGTGTTAAGAACAAGAGATCCTTTTTTTTTAACTTTTCTTAAAAACGGTAAAGAAAATTTTTTCTAAATCGAGATCTCAAAAAATGTTATAAGAATAAGAGTTTTCAGAGAGTAAATTTAATTAAATTTTCAAAAGATTAAAATTTTTTATAACCCTCGGTTAGTCTAGAACCAATTACATTGTTTCGGTTATTAGGAATGATTTTAAATCAAATTGTTCAGGGAAAATGTGCCTCTAAAAATGGTCAAACTAATAGCTTATCCTTTCAAAATTACCTTTAGAAATTGTCAAAGCCGGCGACCATTTAGATTGGAGAATGTCCAAACAAATATATCCATCTTCACTTATATTTGGATGGAAAATTTTAGTCTTGAACGAGACTTGTGGCGGTTTAAACGGATATTCTGTCGGGAATTTAATATTCAAGTAAAACACTCCTCCTTGATATGGAGAATTTGGCGGTCCCGTAATTGCAGCTTGCCAAGTAAAGAGGTCTTCTCCGATAGGACCTGCACTACATAAAGCTGGAGGCTCACGTCGAAAGTCAAGAAGCTCCTAAAATATATAGTCCTAAAATATATGGTTTGAGAATTTCTGAAGGTCATGTAGGAACACCCAATTTTCAGAAGGCTAGATCCCTCGCTATTCTTTTAGTTACCTTGAAATATCCGGAATCGCTAAAATTCACTTAACTCGATTCAATCCTCCGATATACACAAAACTTCCTTTTTCAGCGCCGCAGCCAAAGATTTCGAGAAATTTGGAAGACCAACACACTAGATTTCTTCCTTTTTCAGCGCCGCAGGCGAAAATTTTGAGAATTTTGTAAGATCCTTAAGCTGAAAATCTTCCTTTTTGCGCAGCAGATGGGGGCATAAAAATACTCGGTTTTAACCGAGTACGTCGAGTAGGAAGTTTCCGAGCTCGAGTAATCCGAGTATTATGATCCCGAGTTCCGAGTCGAGTAATTACGCAAAAAACCCGAGCGGTCGAGTCGAGTAACTCGAGCTCGCTCGAACTCGACTTACTCTATTTTTAAGTACCCTGTTCTTCGCTTTAGTATCATAAAGGCATGGGAATAGAAAGCTCTACTCACCCAGAGTTTTCATAATCACGGATATTACCAGACCAAAGGTTTTAACACACAGAACATGGTACTTAAAAATGTGATTGGACGCATAAAAATTTGCTTGGACTATAAACTTTTTATTTGACGTATAAAGGTTGATTGGACATATAAAGGTGCGATTGGACGTTTAATCTAAACTAGAGCCAAATAATCAGAATTCCCGGCCTGGAAATTGGGACACCCTTGACGCTAACAAACAATTAATTTGTTTCGTTTTCAGTTAGGTTAATCTATCAGAAGCAACCCCCGATTGAAACTAAAACCTTATGAATTCGCTTAAGTGCCATTTGAAGAGAAATTAATTTTTAAATTGATGAAGAATAAATTGATTCTAAAAATACACTTGAAACTTAATTTTAGAAATAAAATAAATTAAAGTAAATTAATGAATTAATTTTAGTAAAAGATCTATTTTTTAACATCCTAGAAATAATTTGTGTATTTCGATCCGTTTGTCTGTTGTTTGGGCGTAACAAAAGAAAAAGGTTAGCAAGAGAAAAAGGGCGGAACAAGACAAAACGAGATCAAAAAATTAACCAATGTAAACAAAAAAGAAAATATTTTTAAAGGTCAAGTAGTGTAATAGTAAAAACTAAATTTACAAGATGTAATAAAATACAAGCAGTGTAGATAAAAGTTCAGACAATGGGAAGAACCAATAGTTTGTAGTAAGATAAGAGTTCTGGCAATAGATAAGAGATGTGGCTTACAACGGTCGCATAATTTAAAAAATTATTAAATAGCTAAAATTGGACTTGGGCCTAGCCAAGGTTTTTCAGAGAAGAAACTAAAATTATTTAACATGTCTCTACTGAATCATTTCAATTTATAAAGAAAAAACTGGGAATTAAAATCGAGATTTGTTGGTATGAAAGGGATTAAGCAGGAACTCGACACTACTTTGAATTCTTTAATATGTATGTTTGAGTTATCCTTAAATTCTTATGTATATAACTTGTCAGCACAACGCTGACATCCAAAAATATACACAATAAGCCGAGGCAAAAGTTAAAATCAACTTTGCATTATTAATTAAATAATTTTTTGGAGATAAAGTTTTACACAGTTACTTCTAATCCATCCAAATCCTTCATAATCCCTCCAAATCCACAGCATTAATTTTAATTCCCCAATTCATTAACCGCTCAGTTAATCTGTATCCCAAATCAAATTTTTAGCTGATTCAGACCCGAAACCCGTTACCCAATTCGAAGAATATTTTGAAAACCCTATCCGAACATCGACTTTTTCTTCATAGGACTTATCTTCAACAAGTCAATGATTAACTATATGATTTATTACACACCAAACTTCATCTTCATAAAATCATCAAGTTATCAAAAATATTTTACTATATCCTAACCAACAAATCTATACTATTAACAACTTAAATTTATTAAAATTAAAAAAAAGGTGATTCATTAAATCAGATAATTTATATTTAATGTACTATGTACCGGTTAACTTTAATGTTAATTTAAATTACAAATAATCTATGTTGATCATCAAATGATTATATGTTAGAATTGGAAAATGATTAAAATTATATACACGTACATATTTTAGTTATTTAATCTATTAATTGTAAAAAATTTTTTTAATTTAAAAAATATTTTTTCATATAAATTTGTTCGATCATTTAATAAAATCGTATAAATATTATAAGTAATCGGATGTGTATTAATAATTTGATACCTAAAATATCATATCCCTTAAAATGCCAAAAGGAAGGATGGATTACAGGACTGATTACTCCCATATCTTTGCTGTTTTCATAATTAATTTATCCAAATATTTTTTAATTTATTTAAATTTTAAATTATTTTAAGAAATATTTTTTAAATGTTTTTTATTTTTTCTTTTCTTTTTTGCTTTTTTGCTTCCGAAACGGATGCGGATTTAGCATCCCAAATTGGTTCACTCAAATGGCGACCGAGCCCCTGCCCCAATTGCGACGATACCTGTGCCAATAAACCTTTCTTTACGTGCAAATATACTTGTGATGATCCAAACGAGCAATATCCGCTGTAAATTTAGATTTGATAAAATTATAAACTGTTCCCTCTTAAGCTGAAAATTCAAAGGGTTAAGCAAAGGTTAAGGTTTTGAAATTGAATATGTGATTTCTGACATTTGTCCTCTAACCTTTCTAGATGCTTTGTCCTCTAACCGTTAGAAAACTGACTATATGCTCAAATAATTACTCCTCTCAAATAATTGCCCCTCTCGATTAAACTGTCTATTTAGAAGTTGTGCCATTAATTGGCAATTTTTGCCACTAATATGTAAAAGTTATAGGTGTCAAAGTTTAGTTTATTCACTGAATTTTTCTAATAGGTATTCTCTTCCTTAACATATACATACGCTTGTAAAACAATCTAATATTATCTTATCATCAGTAAATTATCTAAAATATTTTTATAAAGATGTGACCAGCATTTCGATCCACTGATTGAAGGCGCTTATAGGTTGTTTTTTACTAATCTGCTATTAAATTCTATTTTCATTCACAAATTAATAGAACTTTTTATCTTAAGATGTTGTGAAGCACTAAAAAAGTGCCATGTAGAGAGATATAATTATGTTAAGAGAGATGACGAAAAGTCCAAGCATCCGATTGTGGAATTTCGCATGTATGTTAATTTCTATTATTCTATTTTATGGCTAATGATCAGTCCTAAATCTATTCATTTTAGTGATAAACATTGTGCATTTGAATATGATTTGTATACAAAAACAGAATTGGTAAAATTTAACATGGAAGAATTCATTGTGAAAGCTGTGCAAGGAGGGCTTAAGGGGAAGGTAATAGAGAAAAATTTATTCAATTTTTGTTAAAAATTGAAAGAATTTGTTTCAAATTTGAGAATTTTATTTAAGTTGAGAAATGATCCTGAAATGGGAAAAATCCTCACAAAAATGGATATTAAAGAGTTGAATTACTGGACTTGTAATCCTTTAACAACCGATTGCGAGAGATTTTTTCATTGGTGTAGCTTGTAAGTTCTTCAGATTATTTAAAGATAATTAACGGGGGTGATGCTCCGTGATTTCTGCATTTCAGTGAAAATCGTAAATTTTACCGTGACAATTTAGGCAAAATTATAAATTAATTCTGAATGTATCCTTTCCAAAAACTTAACTTTCATTCTTCTAATCTTGAATCCAATATCTGAAGATTTTCATTAAAATTCTTTAAATCATTCATATATCGTAAATACTCTAATATAAGCCCATTTCTTGTATTTTATGTACACTAGATCACTTTGACTAGGCTTGTATTATTAAAAATTAATCTGTATATCTTCAGAGAATGTGTTAATGGGAAGATGAGATTTAGCCAAACAAAAGAAGACAAATATAAGGATCAAATGTTAATTAAACAGTCAATAAAAGCATCAAATCAAGTTGCTCTCGAACTTGCTAGACTTGCAGAAGAAAATAAAAGAACAAATGCCGAAATTGCTGCTAATACTAGGAAAAATAACGAGGAATTGGATGCTGTAAATTTTAAAAATTATTTATGATTAGATCACTACCTAGAAGGGGTGGGTAGAAACAGTTAGAAAATTGCGATCGTAATTGGATTTTAAAATGCGCACGACACATCTTTATCTAAATCTAGGATTAATGTTTAGATAATAATTTATTCTGAGGGTTAAACTATTTATTAAGTATTTACACTAAGAGAATTCAAGCTTAAAAAAAGTTATATAAAATTTTTTAATTTTAAAATTAAGCTAAAAACGGAAAACAAAAATCTTAAAAACCAAGCCGAGAAAGATAAGAAAATTGAAAAGCCTCCACCAAAAGAAACAAAAAATGTGTATCAAGAGAAAGAAAAAAAGACTGAACAGAAAATTGACAAATGTGGAGGAGATGCTTTAGGCGAAGCATCGAAAGGCAATTTTCGACCTGGACTTAAGCAAGTTGCTAAAGAAGGGGGTGACTGGGCTGCAACTGGTGCGAAGGGATATTGTAAAAGGAAATTAAAAATCTTTTCATTTGCTTGTGATCCGCTTGTTGATGGCGTGAAAAGTGAAATTGTAGATCCTCAAATTGATTTGGCATGCAAAAAATATTTAAATTAATTTAAATTATTATCTGTTAAGTACTTTTAAAGCAATAAACTTATTTTATCTATCATAATATTTTGTTTTATTTTTCAATAGTTCCAAACAGAGGTCCATCGAAATTCTAATTTCTCATGTTATTTCTTCAGATTTCCGAAATTTTGGAAAAATTTCCGATTTCCGAGAATTTTTGAAGCATATTTCCGACTAGAGATTTTGTTCAAATTCTCAAAAATTTAGTCTGCGTCACTGAGAATTGTAAGAAATCATGCTTGCCTTCCAAAATTCCCAAAATTTTCGCCTGCGCCGCTGAAAATCGAAGAAATATGGCTCATTATCCTTCCGAAATTAGAGGGATAACGGGAGACATCGTTTACAAGGTTTAAAATGGATTTTGTGCGATATAGTTGGATTTAAAGAGAATCATATTAGATTATCCCCAAAATCTCAGAGTATATTCATAGTATTGGCTAGAGCAAACGTTGGGTCATCGAATTCGAAAATATATGATTTTATAAATAAATCCTCCTGAATACTGCTAATCCATTGATATCTCAAGTTGAAAATTATTCGATTGATTAGTCCGTCTTTGACAAATACAACGTTAAGTGAACCAAAAGAAACCGGGCACTTCTCTATCCTTTATAACTTTTTTTTGTCTTATCATTTTTAAATAATTCCAAGTTTATTTTGTAGCTCTTTATTTCTCTATCATATAGTAAAATTAAAGTTTTTTGATTAAGAATTATGAAAGTTATGTAATTTTAGGTACACCATATTAAAATTTTCCCTCCGTAATTTTATTTTCTTTATCTCAGAAAGGAGAAGTCCAAATGGGATGATCTCGACAGAATTTAATTAAGATCATTAGCGAACCGGACAAATCTGAAAGATGAAAACTCCAACTCGTACATGGATAGCTCTGAATAGATGTAAGTCAGTTTTAGGAGGAATGCGATTTTCTCATTATGGGAGTGTTACGCGCAATCGAATATCTATGTAAGCGTTAATCTCCGATATACATAAAAACCACTTTTCTTCTTTTTAGTTTTGAATTATGGAGGGCCAAAAAGCAAATCTCTTCACTTTTAGTGCCGCAGGCGAAAATTTTGAGAATTTTGAAAGGACAAGAAGCCAGATTTCTTACTTTATTAGCGACGTAGGCCACTGATATTTTGTGATTAATAGGGATATCGAGATATCTACTTTACATTAAGAGAGATTGCAGGATAAAGGGATTAAGGAGGATACCAATCGTCCTTGATCCCTCTAATATCATATCCCACATCAACATTCCATTAGAGTTGTAAACAGGCGCCGCAGTTAAAAATTTTGAGAATTTGGAAGGCCATGTAGCCAAATTTCTTTTATTTTCAGCGCCGCAGGCGAAAATTTTGAGAAAATTTAAAGACCAAGAAGCTAAATTGCTTCCCTTTTCAGCGCTGACGACTTTCTTAAATAGTCCAAAATTTTTGACATTTTTTCTAAAATAGATTGAAAATATTTCGTGTCTCGTGGCAAAATACGAGATACGAGACGAGCGCCACCCCTGATACATACAGGGTGCGGCAAAAGTTCCCGTACTTTTCTTAAGCATAAAATTTATTTCAAATATTTTCTTAAATTTTATAAAATACATAAAAAAGTGATCATAAATATGTAAAGAAACGAAAAATTATAACAAATATTCAAAATGTCCTCCCTCCACCAAGATACACGCGTCCAAACGCTTACTGCTCTTGCTCACTATGGTCGCGCAACCAACCACAGTAATTGAGTCCCAGCCCAACCTGGAAACAAATCTTCGCAGAGGCCAATCATTGTTTTTGCCCAATGTGAAGGGGCCCAATTTTGCTGCAACATAAAATTGGTTTTACCGAAGTGTTGCTGTGTCCAGGGATGCAATGGCACAAAACCCCGGCCAACACCACTGTTGATGTGCCCAGGGATCCTTTGTTTTTGTGCCTAGGGATCCAGTGGCACAAATCCCGGCCCACACCATTACAGATTGTGGAAAGCGGCACTTTTGAGCCATTTTAGAATCAAGGCCTTTCCTAGGAAGCAATTCCCTATGATTTCGTCTGTTGTGAAAGACGAGATTGCAAATGGGCTGGGATTCAATTATTGTGGATAAGTGCGCGACCATAGTGGGCAAATTCAGTAAGCGTTTAGACGCGTATATCTTGGCTGAGGGAGGACATTTTGGAAATTTGTTATATTCTTTCATTTCCTTATATATTAATGAATACTTTTTCATAGATTTTATAAAATTTAAAAAAATATTTGAAATAAATTTTATGCTTAACAAAAGTACGGGAACTTTTGCCGCACCCTGTATATGAGTATATGCTTTACGAGATTTTCTAAACCATTCGGTTAAAAAATTAAATGAATCATAGAAATATGTAAAAACATATAAAATATTTTATAAAAATATATTATTTTTTCACAGCATATTGGTTTCTACTGAATCTGATTTAAATAAAATAAATGAATTTGATAATCATTTGTGAATATTTGATCAAATTTAGTGTTTTTTTGAGACTATAAAAAATTTTGCAAGATTGTCCCATAACCACGATTTCCCCATGAACTCGATATCATATTTTCCAGCCTTGGTAATCACCGGTCGAAGTTTTTTTAAAATCTCGCCAACTCTAGTCCAAAGTTGAATTCCATATCTTTCTATTAATTTGATGTGCTAATTATACATATCTCTTAATCCATTATACTTAGATATAATACATATAATGTATGCTATTTTATTCTTTATTTTTTTCAATATGCCTAAAATCAATCCAGGAGGTTAATGAAATCTATTTACATATAAATAGATATAAAATCGAATTTAGATTCGATCAGATGTTATTTTGGTGCAGAAGGCGAAGCTGGCGGCGAACAATTTTATGGAATGAAATATTGTTTAACAAATTATTATTGCTATAAATATGTTTGTGGAGGTTAAACTTTGAAAAATAGTTTTTATCAATACCTAGAACGGTTGGGCACATAAGGGACACTACCAAATCGTATTTAGGTATATAAAATATTTCGATAATTAAGATGAATACGCGAAAGGATGTACTCAGGAAACTGTTTGTTATGAGGAGTTTAACGATAAAAATGTTAAATGTACTTGTCATTCATGCAGTGGTGATTTATGTAATTCTGCTGTTGGCACTTTTACAAAAATTAAGATAGAAGTTCAACTTATTACCATCTTCACATTTATTCTTGGAGGTAAAATTCGTAATACGAGAAATCCATTAAAAGCAACCTAAATTTGATTTTAACTTGGAAGATTATTATTTTAATTAATTATTTAGGTATTCTCCTGTACATATGAAAAATGATTTGATTTTATACTTGGCTATGGAATCTGGATGAAATTAAAAATAATTTTTAAATTTACACATATACATACATATAAAGTCCGTTCCAAAATAGGTTGACACTCCCTAATTTTTCCGATAAGTCAACTTAGATTCATCTGATTTTTATAATTTTTTTAAATATCGATTCAGCAGTGAAAATAACCCTATTTTACAAAAAATTTCAGATAAGCAAAAATTTTATCAAAAGTTATGAAAAATTTTTAGAAAATGAGTGTTCCAAAATACATTGAACAGTTTGTGAAACCTAACAAAAAAGCCCTTAAACAATTATTAAAAATGAAATAAAAAATTCTATGAACATTACCATCGATATGGTGTAGAAAAATAAGAAGAACGAAGTCTTTAACTTCTTTTTTCATCGAGATCTCAAATCTCGAAAATCAACGGGAAATCGGGGTACAGTACTTCGAAAAATATTTTAACCCCTTTAGGGCATATATAAAAATTTTCTTTTAGGCCTATCTGAAAGCCCATAAAATTTACTACAAAATAGTCCGGGAATTAATTTTTCTAAAATATATCTGTTTGATGTATGTCCAGTTAACTTTAAAAATGCTCAAAACTCTCCAAAATACCCCAAAAATGATCACTTAAAAATTCCTCGAACATTATCTCCATGTGTTTTTTATTGTGAAATTTAAGCCTGCGCTATTTTGTAGTAAATTTTATGGGCTTTCAGATAGGCCTAAAAGAAAATTTTTATATATGCCCTAAAGGGGTTAAAATATTTTTCGAAGTTGACTTATCGGAAAAATTAGGGGGTGTCAACCTATTTTGAAACGGACTTTATTATTAATTTTTAATCATAATGCAAATAAACTACATTTTTAAACTCGAACTAATTTTGATAAAGTTATGTATGTTATAAATAACGTTCGACCCGATTTCCCGAAATAGGGAAATTTTTGGCTCGGAAATTCCCGATTCCCGAAATCGGTAAATTTATTTTTGTCGGGAATTCTCGTTACCGTTTCACGACGTTTTTAGAAAAAATCGGGAATTTTCGGGAATTTTCACTTCATGTCTGACGCTGATAAGGGAAGAAATGTGCCTTCTCGTTCTTCGAAAATTCTCAAAATTTTCGTCCGCGGCGATGAAAAAGGAAAAAATTTGGCTTCTTGGCCTTACAAATCTCTTCTTGATCTTCCAAAATTTTTCAAGAAAATCCGGCCAATTTTTTTCTCAATATTCCTATCCTTAATCCAACAATATCTTCTTAATCAATCGTTGTCCTATTAATCCCTCGATGTCTCCCTTAATCCATTGATATCCTTCATGGCTCTTAATACCTCAATATTTCTCTATTTAATCCAACAATGTCTTCTTAGTCACTCATTGTCCCCTTAATCCCTCGATATCCCTCTTTAATCCTTCGATATCTATTTAATCCTTTGTTAATCGCCCGACATCTCTCATAATTCGCTCAAATCCCTCGATATCCTTCTTAATCTACACAAATCGATGTCAAAATCGAACTAACAAAATTCACGAATTTACCGAAAATCGGGAATTCCCGACGTTTTTCAGGTCGGGAATTCCCGATTCCCGAAATCGGTAATTTTGATTTTTTGTCGGCAGGATCCCTGGTACATAAGTATTATTTGATAATTTTTGGTTTCTTAATTAAAATATATTTCTAATATATATGATTCATTTAATTAAATTCATTTAATCAAAATTTAGATTAAATACTATATTTATTTGTCATTTATATATTAAATGATAGAAATAACTAAATTTTAAATTTTATATAAATTTATTGATAGAGACGATACTGACTAAACAGCCCTGTAATCTCGTTAGAGGCCCTTTTTGTAAGAGAACAGTTTACTCAAAGTCAGTTTCACCAAAATTCACTTCATCTGTAAAGCCACTTTTAACTAAATACTACAGGAGTCAAAAATATAGATTATCAATGATGATCCCACGGTATTATCTACAAATCCTATTATTTTCTCGATATACCGCTTAATCCACCAGACTCTCTTATATCCTTCTTAATCCCTAAATCGGGCATAGCATTGAATTTCCATATTAAGAAGGATATCAGGAAATTTGGAAAGATAGCAGAGGATTTGAGGGGATATCAAAGGATTTGGAAGGAGAATTTTGAGTTTGCTCAAATATTTGATTCATTTCGATCAAATTACTTGAAATCAAATTTTCTAAAATCAACATTATTTGATTTAAATTGTCTGTTTTTTAAGACAAAACAAATTTTAAAACATTTATTTATTCGTGTTCTACTATATTAAATTTAAAATTGTTAATTTAAAATTATTTTAAGAAATATTATTAATAATGTTATTTATTGTTTTCTTGCTCTTTGGCATGTTTGCTCCAACAAAGGAGGCTGATTTAGCAACTCAACTCGGATCATTTAAACATCGACCGAGCCCCTGCCCTGATTGTGATAATCTTTGCGCCAATGACCCTTCATATACATGTAACTATACTTGTGATGATCAAAACGACCAATATCCCTTGTAATTAATTTATATATTCATATAGAATTATTTATAGTTTAGATGTATACATATACATATTCATTAAATATTATTTGTACATAAGATTTAAATTGGGGGCGGGTAGGCAGGGTTTTGCGAGTATAGGTATAGAATCTGAAAAATTGGCGTTTGGCATTTCTGGCGTACAGCCATGCTTTAAAAAATGATATTTCTTTCAGATGTGATCAATTCTTCGATCCTTTGATTCAAGGAGCATATAGGTTACTTAAAAATTATTTTTAAGCTTAAGGATTTTTAGGTTGTAAAAACCTTTAAGGAGGTTTCCTAAAATACTACTTTCCCCTAAATTTGTACTCCACCGTTAAATATATATCCCCCGTCGAAATGAATCGAAGCTTTCAGTTAACCGAATCGAAAATTTGTCAGAATCATGAGGTTATATTGTATTAATTGGCGTGGTAAAAGTAATTTAAACAATGTTAGCTTTTAGATGTTGTTCTATAGCAAAAAAGTGTTTTGAACACGCATCCAGTATTAAAGCTACCGATGCAACAGACAAAACTCCACTTGTAGAATTTAAAATGTATAGTTTCACTATTTTTAAAATTTTAAAAATTAGAAGCTCGGAAAGATTATCTTTTTTTGTTCCAATTTTTTAATATTTTTTGGTTAAAAACAAATAAAAAAAAATCCCCTATAAATATGTAGTTCGTGAATACTTCAGTAAAGCAGCTGGGCTATATAGCTATACCTCTCCTTTGCTAGCGCAAAAGTTTATTCGACGGCTGGGAGCGAACTAACATCTTTAGTAGACCGGACTGATGTTTTACAGCATGCACAGCCTCAGGTCCAGTGCTTCGAAATTTCAAATTTGCTCGTACTCGTACTTCGTACCACCTCTTTTTTGGCCTCGTACTCGTACCTCGTACCACCCCTATTTTTTTGCTCGTACTCGTACATCGTACTTACTCGTACTTGAGAAAAAAGCAAAAAATCGAAAATTTTTATAATTTTTGGAGTCCAGGACATCTAGTTTTAAATTTTAAGCGTTTGTGCAATAATTTTTGAATCTTGGAAGGCTTTGAAGCCATAAATCCTCATATAATCCATTTTCTGCGCCGCAGGCAAAAATTTTTAGAATTTGGATGTCCTTAAGTCAGATTTCTTCCATTCTTTGCGCCGCAGGCAAAAATTTTTTTTTTTACTGAGACGTTATCAGAGGTCGGTCGGAAATGATGAAGAAGCCGTAGGAGATAAGAATTCACTTTTTAGTGTTCAAAGTAAAAATATTTTAAAAATTTTAGAGCTCTTTCAAATGAGCTATCATACAAAAAATCGAATTTTTCACCCCAAAATTCAGCTTACTCCCCCCTATGCTTTTTCAAATTTCGGGGACCTATATCTCGGTCCAAAAATTTTTCCTCGGGCTAAAACTGGTGTCAATCGACTCAGCTCGAGGAGCTCTTTCGAATGGTATAACATTTGTATATTAACTCCGGGACCCACGTACTAAAGTACAGCCCCCATTTTTTTGCTCGTACTCGTACTTCGTACCAGGTACGAGTACGAGGTACGAGTACGAATTTTGGTACGAGCTTCGAAGCACTGCTCAGGTCGTCTATTCGAGATAACTATATACAGAAAGTGTTAGAAATTGTTTTTAAATTGTACGTAGTTCCCGTTAGTGTTGGACCCTAGTTCCCGTATATTTAAACTAACTTAGTCTTATTTAGTGATAATAATTGCGAAACTGAATACTTATTGCATTCTCGGACAACATTGATAAAATTTAACTCGGAGGAATATTTGTTAAAGGGTATGAAAGCAGGGCTGAAAGGAAAGGTAATTTGAAATTTATATTTAAAATTAACAGTATTTTAAGTGCAATTAATGAAAATTCTCATATTCAGAGCTCAATACTTACAAATAAAGACTATCAGTATTAACATGAATTTTTTATCATGAATTTTTAAATTAAATAAAATTATAAGAATGTTTCTAAAAATTTTCGCCGCGGTGGTTACTTGTCAATAAGTTATTGTTGACATTTTTTCTGTGCATTTTGTCATGGCATTTTCTCTTTCTGGCAGTTTCCATTCCATCTTAATCATTTCCGACCGACCTCTGATAACGTCTAAGTGGCTTAAAAAACTGGCTCCGTTCTTTGGAGAATACATACATTTGTGAAAATAAAGCCCCTCTAAAATATAGCTTTATTTTAAAGGATAGTTGAAAAATAAAGTCCCAGAGTTTCTATTTTATGAAATATACAGAACATTAGATTAAATATACTAAATACTCATATATATTTTGAAATATGTATTTTTATATTATAGTTTAGAGGTGATCCAAATACCGATAAACTTATCTCAAAATTGAAAATTAAACCATTGGATTATTGGTCTTGCTTTCCAATTACTACAGATTGTAATAGCTTTTACCATTTTTGTAGTTTGTAAGTTACATATTTATAAAATTTCCCTTTGTAAACTTGGGTAGATTTTTCATTCAAATTTTAAAAAATTTGATTTCTTATATGACAAAAAATTTTATGAAAATCTATATGAATTTTGAAAATAATTAGTTAGTACGCATATAATTCAGGGCTCCGATCGACAAAATGCTAATCAAGAGTACAAAAATCTCGATTTTAAAGGACATAGGGACAAAATTTCCAAATTTAAAGTACACTCAAAATTAAATTAGAAAATATTTATTCGTGCTCAAATTTTTATATTTCTCTCCCAAATGAATCTTCTCTAATAATTTATGTTTCCACTGAGCATTTTGTGCATTTCAATGCACTTTTTTGTGGCGACGAAGGCGTCAAAAATCTTACATTTTTTGCGCCGCAGGCGAAAATTCTATAATTTTGGAGGTCCTTAAGCCAGATTTCTTCCATTTTTTTCAAAATGTTGATTTTAAAGTACATACTTTCAAAAAAATTACGAATCGGAGCCCTGATATAATTGAACCTTAGATTAACACTATTTTCCAGCTTTTGTACTAAAATTTGAACATAAATGCCTAGTATATTCTAGAGAATGTGTCAATGGTAAACTGAAGTTTAGTGATACATTGGAGGACAAATACAAAGACAGATTGTTGAAAAAACGACAGATAGATGCAAACAACGCCGTTGCCAAGGCATTAGCTGAGGAACGTGAAGGACGCAAAAATTTAAATAAAGCTCGAGTAGATGATAATAATAAGATACATAATGATAAAATGGAAGCGGTAAATTTTGAATAATATCTCTAAATTGGAGTCAGGTTGATCTAAAAAATTTTTTGAGGCAAAATAAGGATAGGAATTTTATATTTCAACTAAGCAAGTAAAAGTGAAATACCTAAGACGAAAAATTTAAAAATTTTTGACTAAATATTTTTAAAAAATCAAAAACTTAACCATTCTGTCAGTAGTGATGTTTTTGACCTAAAATATGTACACATCCTGATATAGTAGAATTAAAGAAATTATATTTATCGAAAACAAAATTGAGAAAAATATTTTGGCAAGATTTGTTTTGTGAATTCAAATGCCAAAAAATTCCCAAAAAATTCCATCCTTAGGGGTGTATTTTATAAACCGAAAAACCGGTCGGTTTAGGCCACCGGTTTTCGCCGGTTTTTGACCCCCGGTTTTCGGTTTCGATTCTGTTAACCAACCGTAAACAACCCTAATCTACAATTTAAATTGAAATTTTTAAAATTTAGTTGAGGGAACAGAATAAGCTACTTAGAGGGCAAATTAAAAAAAACAAAGAAAAGACGCCACCAAAAGAAACAAAAAATGAGTACAAAGATAAAGCAAAAGAGATTAAAAAGAAAACCGAACAATGCAATACAGAAGGGGATTTTATAGAAAATATAGAGAAAGGAGAAGTTGTTAATGTACTTTTGAAAGCTCGGAAAGAAGCTGGAAAGTTTTCTGGTTATGTAGCTACTGCCGGTTGTTTTAAACTTGGTCCATTCGCGTTTTTATGCGGTGTTGCTGCAGATCTTGTTGAAGAAAAAGTTGTCTACCCTTTGGTTGAAAAGGCTTGTAAGAAAATTTTTGGATGAAAAAATTTTATATCTAATGTAACACGCAATAAAAAATTTTAATAAAGCATATTTGAAATTTTTATTAGTATTGTATTTAATTTAGTGTTGAGCGGAATCGGGATCCTGACCAAAATCGGGAATTGGAAAAACGACTCCGATCCCTAATCGGGACCGTGATTTAAAAATCGGGATTTACTAAAAAAATTTATTTTTATCTTCATACACACCGTTGAATATAATTTCAGAATTTACACCACCGGCGCTGAAATACTTCTATAACTTGATTTTCCTTTCAAATGACTTGATGTTCCAAATATTCTTCTAAACATCCATTCTTGAATCCTTATTAATCCCTGTAATCTACCGATATCCTTTTATTCCTCTACATCACGACCAAATCCCAAAATATCACGGTTAAGCGATCAAGGGGATACTTGGGGATTATGTAGTATATTACCTGGGATTCGAATGCATCAAGAAAATTTAAAAAGTTACCACGTGATTGCGGAGATGTCAGGAGAATTGGGAAGATATCGGGGATAAAGGGATATCAGTGAATTCGGAGGTATGCAGGAAGATCTGAGACCAAGATACTGAGCCGAATTTTTCTGAGACGATCTATAATGGAAAAAATCGTTATAATAAGGGTTGTACTTTCAGCGCCGTAGGCGAAAATTTTGAGAATTTGAAAAGGCCAAGAAGCCATATTTTATCAATTTTACGTCTCTTTCGTCTTTTGTTTTGCGTTGTTTTTGCCCTTGTATGTTTGATACGGCCATTTTGATATGGCCGTATTTTGACTGCTCCGTGTTCTGTTACATGTTTTGCCTATTCATGCTTTGAAAGTCTTTATGAATGTAATTGATTACGAATTTTTAATCCTTTTTTCTAGGAGAAAACTCGAATAGATACAGGTCCCTGAAAATTGAAAAATTCTTCGTTTCAATTTATAACTAATAAAAAATTTTAATATTTAAAACAGCAAAATTTTGAGTCCAGAACTTTTCTAAACTCTGGAAACAACTATATAAAATTAAGGCTAAGTCAGTACAAATGACCAATGGTCACTTTTAAAGCTTAAGCAATGATATTTAACAATTTTTAATATCATTGTATAAACCAGTCTTGTTACCAAAATTTTACGCTTGATTTGTAAAAATTTTATCTTTTAAAAGAAAATGAAAGGGAACATAAAAAAGGGGGAGATAATTTTTAGAGTTCCACCGGAAGTTTCAGTTCCGGTAAGTTCGGGTGTTTTTTGGTTTGGTTCTGGTTCCGGTGAAACACTAATAATTTTTAATCATACATAAAAATTAATTTTTCATTTAATCATCTTTCATTAAATTTCTTAATTTATTATTATTATTCAAAGCCTGCTTTGCAGCTTTCTGTGCGAGACTGCGCTCTCTCATAAAAAGTGAGAGAGCGCAGTCAAGCTCTGTATTCTTAATCATTTCAATAACAATTTGGTCAAATTCTTGAATGAGTCTGCGGATTGTAATAACAGTGTCCAGTTCAACTTTGGCAAAAAGGTAGGCAGTGTCAAATAAGTTACTATAACATGCCAGTCCCTCATCTGGAGCTTTGATTTTGCTCCAGCATTCATCGAGCATTCTATAATTATCATAAAATTTTGAGATATCAGAATAAATATTTAGAGAAAGCTGATAGTGATTTTCGATTTCCATTAACCGTAAACCCGCAACCCTAATTTTGTATATCATGTATTTCTGATCCAGGTGGCTTTAGAAAGAATAAACTGATAAAGCAAATCTATTGGCTTTTCTTATAAAACCATTCAATTACTTTGCCAATTACCAAGAAGTCAGATTCTTCCTTTATTTGCACCGAAGGCGAAAATTTTGAGAATTTTGGAATGCCAAGAAGCCTGCCTAATTTAGCCCATTTATGAATTATTTTTCATAGAAAATTTCTGGTTTCGGGGCGGGTTCTGGAAAAATTCTCGAATCTGGTTTCGGGTCGAAAAAAGTTCGGGTATCAGATTTCGGTTAATCCGAAACTAATTGGAATCTTATAAAAATCCATGCACTTAGTAACTTATTTTCCGTAATGAGATGTTTAGTTTAAAATTTACTTGTCACATTGACAATGAGTATGTTTACAGGTTCCGTTGCTATCTTTACATTTAAAAGTTGGAATTTCCTCATCATCATCACATTCCCACGAATATTTCATTTCCATTTTTATATGATAATGTTCTTCCGGAATATAGTAATGTTCTTTAATAGAAGAACAGCCTTGACCATACTCGATATCTCTTGCCGCTGCAATACAGTCGTGATGTTGATCACAACAGCTGTATATTTTTTATTCATATTTTATTTTCATATCTTTTTAACCCTTTATTCGGGATCATTGTAAGGGGTCCTTGCGATAGGAAACTCTAAGATTTTTCGAGAATTTGTCGGCAGACTTGAACTGAAGTTGCCAACTTCAGTATAGTATTAAAGACTTAATCAAGTGATACTAAGTAAACTAACGATTTAGTTAGAAGGAATTTTTTTAAAAAAATTAACTGAATTTTTAAAATAGGGTCCCCAAAAAATCTATACTTAACGAAACAGTTATTTTCGATATTTTTATTTTATATAAATATTAACTCACACATTTAAATCCTCATGGTTCTTTATTACACCACAACTTAAATGAAAATTATTCAGTTAAAGTTACATAGTAAATAAATTATCACGAATTAAAAGATTAACAAAAGGTAGGCCATCAAGCAGAAATTTGCTAGATACCTTAAGAGACCAGACTCCCGCGTTAATTCCCGCCTTATCTATTTTTAGTCTAAATAACTAAACGGGTTGCCTATATTTTATTATTTCATTATGAAATTTTTTATTAATAAATAAAAGTTACTAGCACGCATATTTCTCATAATATTCAGTAGCTCGGGTGCAGGCAATTGGAGGCTAAAATTAATAAAATTCGTGATTAGATTACATTAATTCCCAAAAAGTTGCTGGTGGCGTAAAAGATCATTTCAAAAATGTTCCTCTAAAATCAGACACAAACTGAAATTTTTTTTTTCAAAATTCTATTGTTATTATTAACGTACACAACTTTAAAATTCACTATTCGGTGAAAATTAAGTAATCATTGGTTTTTATGGACACTCTGTTATTTCTGGCTTCAAGTAGTTTTTGTTTATAATTCCCATATCCTAGTTAAATTTATTTTATATTAGGTTGCCTTGTATTTCTCATTTGTGCCTGATTTAGCGGAAATTATATATTATTTTGATAGTTACTTTGTAGACTTTATAGGAATTTTATGGCACAATTTTAAGTTGAATTTATTTTAAGGCATTATCTTTGAAATTTACATTTAAAAATAATACTTACAATTTGCTTGGGTGGTGCTACCTTAAATAAGTAAATTATTAAATAGTATATTATCCGTAATTTGTCTTAAATGCTTACTACATATTAACCCGATAGCCTATTTTATCAACACAGAGTTAATTAAATGTTTGCACATTGTACCAGTCAGATTGCTAAAATTTTCTTCGGATCAGGTTTCGGGTTGAAAAAGTCCAAGTTTCTTGTTTAGGGTAACCTCTAACGATCCCTGGTCAAATGTACTTTTGAATGGGTACTTTTCATAAGGACAACTCTTTCTTCTAAAATCTCACTTTGCATCCTTCATGCTCAGTTCTTTTGAGCAACCCATAGACAAAATTTCGATCCTTCATGCCACAAATTCCTATGTCATACATTATTATACTTATCTCAGTAAAGTCAGCAAGGAATCCCCCGCCTTTCATATGATCTTTGAAGTCTTGAGCCTCGCCGCTAAATGGGGCGCGATCATATTTCTAAATTAAGAAAGCTCATATTTAAATTATTTCCAGTAATTATAATAACAACCTGGCGTGTAATGCCTTCTACAATATCAATCGGGGTGTATTTACCAAGAGGATAGGCCTTTCTTAAAAAAATTTTTAATGGTAGAATTTAATAGTCTCATAAATTTAATGATCTTCTCCGGACCGATCGCTAATACATATATGTGAAAGTCTTAAATATTTTATAAAAGGAATATACAAAACAAACTAACACTTCTCCTTCAATTTCAATTTCCAGTTTAGTCAAATTATCAGAAAAATCATGGGTGATTTTAAAGCCATTAAAATCATTCCCTTCACAAGCCCCATTCTTCATACATTCATCACAAATACGCTTTCCTCCTCTTTCACCGAATTGAAAACGTCTGCTTATTTTGCTGTGTTTCATTAAACTAGACAAACCAGATTTATAGCAGATTACAATTCTTAATTTTAATTTTGGAAATTAGGTTTACGGTTTTAGTATAGCTTAAGAATTTGTTAGAACCGCAAACCTATTAATAATTCTTGCAAAATAATTTTTAATATGATTATATGTTAAGGAGATGGGTATCTAAAAGGTAAATTTCTAATCAGGATAATGTAATATTCATATAGGTATGTGGCCGTTTTGAATTAAAATTAATTTAAAATATTTAAAAATATGGCTCCAGATTCCGAAAATCAATTTGCTAGTATTGCTGAATCCTAGTGCCCGTAAATGTTAATACTTCAAGGAAATTTTATTTTTTAACATACTCCTTGCAGGGATCCAATTTATCAAGTAAGTTTTTAGCTTCCGGGCAGAAGGGGTTATTTGCAGGGCATTTAACGAATGTCGAAGTTGGCGGATCTTTAGCCTGTTGAGGTATAGGAAGAGTGCAAACGGATGTTAATATTTCGGCAATAATTGCCAAAAAGAAATACATATTTAAATAGAAATTAATTTAAATGTTCTAAAATTTAATGAAATGTTTTTAAAAATTATTTCTAAGACTTTAAAGAGATCGAGCAAGTCTGAGAAAATTGATGGCTTTTAGACTGCGAAATATTATAAGCGTTTAAACAATAATTTTAGGTAATTCCAATTTTTAGAATTTAATTAGCTTTATTCCTTTATTCGATATTCAGCAAAATTCTTGCCTTAATCGGCATTCCGAAAATTTTAAACAAATTTAAAAATATTTAGATTTAATGAAATATTATTTTACTGAATATATATGAATATGGATAGCTTTAATGTAAACTACTTTTAAATAAAAATTATCTGTTAAATAATCTGTAATTTATTTTAACATCACTTATATTTAATTTTAGTTAAAAGCTAGGCAGATTAATTTAGTATGACTAAACTTCCACAAAATTTTATATATTTTCCATCAACTAACATAGTACTTACTAATTTAAAAAGCTTTTCCGTTTGCTAAATTAATCAAATGTGTTGTTTAATTTTTAAATGAATCATTATCTGATTTTTAATTATTAAGAGTTATATTTAAAAAAATTTTTTATAAAAATTTTATCAATTGTACATTGAAACCTTTAAATAAATGAATTTTTTATAATTTTTAAAAATTTATCAAAAACGGTAAAGCCAGGGGTGAAAGTCACTTGGATTGAAATAAAAATACTCCAAAATTCAAGCAAATTATCTGAATTTTTATCAAAAAATCTGAAATTTTTGAGTAGTTTTATTATAGGAAAATTTTTATCTTTATAATATAAAATTCAAGTTCTATCAGCTTGCGCCAAAATTGTCCAGTCACAAGAGGACTGTCATTCAAAAATTATCATTCGTTAAGAGTTTATTTATCGCAATTCTGCTTGAATGAAAATTACTTAATAAAGTATAAAACAATTAAATTATATTATGCAATTTTTAAAGTAATATAAATTATAAAACGAAAAAGTTTCAAAAGTATTTGTCGGATCTGAGGGTAATTATTACGAATTTCTCAATTTATTGCTAAAATATACTAGATAATCAAATAAAAAGTTGTATCATTAACAGTTCAATCTCGTTTTTACATATCCACTCAATTTTATAAACGATTTTCTACCAAATGTTATTCTCAATTTCCAAAAATTTTATAATTTTTATTTAATATAATCTATTACATTAATTTTATTTTATATATCTATCAGACAATATTAGTTTATTGGCCCAATGGGTAATTTTTGAATTATTTTTGAATGTCACTGCAATGCAGTGACAAATCATCTAAATCCTTTAAGATATTCTCTAGAATATCGAGGATTGTCAAACAGAGATATCTAGCATTATATTTCAATTAACTGAAATTTATTTATGTATTAGCAACATGGGTTTTCACGTTTCTGTTAACGCTACAAGATTTTTATAGTTTTGTTAAAACATTGTAATTGGTGATTAACGTCGTGAGGAATAAAATTTATTCGGAAAAAATTGATCTATTTTAATATTTAATAATTGCACTTTTTATCAAAAATATTCACACAAATTTATTTGTTAAAAACATAAAAATCTCAATTTCTTATTTGTCTTTTGTTTAGAAATTAATTTTTGTTGTTGTTGTTGTTCACTTCCATTATTTAAACTTTTATTAAATTTATTAAAAGATTCACTTTCTGTTCTAGTTCTAAATGTCCCTCGACTATTTCCTCTTCTTTCCTCGTCTATACAATGAATTAATTTGTTCATTATACGGCTAAAGGCACGTCGAAAGTCTCGATTAAATATTCCATAAATTACTGGATTTACTGATGAATTGGCATAACCTAGCCAGGAAACTGTCTAAAATTTGTTTTTATTTTTTTAAAAGAGGTTGGAGGACCTGAAAAAGTAGTGGAGGGAAAATTTCTGGCCAGAAAGGGCGTAGAACATTGACAATAAAGAAGGGTAACCAACAGATGAGAAAAGTGCCTGTTAAATAAAAAAATTAAAAGGGGATAAGTTAAAAATATAAGGAAAAATTCGAAGAGATAACTTGAACTTTTCCTTAGAATTCTCGTAAGAACCGATATATGTACATTGTTAGAAGAAAAAGCTTATAAAGTCTTACTATAATTATCGTATCACTGAATACTGATTTTTAGAAAAAGTTACTTTACACTAATTTATTTTGTCAAATCGTTTGATTTGGCATTCAAAAATAGTCATACAATCAATGGGCTAACTCGATTACTTGTTTATGTTAAATAAAAATAACTTAATAAAATTGTAAATTAAAAAAATTATATTATGCAATTATAGAATTATTATAGTGTGTAATGCTCCGTTTAAGGAATTTAATAATTTCGCTATAGCATTCTCAGAGCTTAGGAAATAGTAAAATGAAATAGTGGACACTAAATGGTTGTCTCGAATTTTTACAAAATAACCAACCCATAATAACACCAAGAGTAACACGTGCTTTTTTGTCAGAAGAACGATGCCCTCCATTACCATTATTATTATTAGTCCACCCACAAGATTTAAAACCTCTTTTTGTTGTTGGAGAAGGGAGTGGTGAACAACTTTTTCTTCTCTTAAATTTAAAATTAGATACATACAAGCAAAATTTAGGGTAATCAAATAAATATCAAATTGAGCTCTTTGCGCCGTCGGGTAAAACTAGCGTTTAAGAAGCTACTAAGAAGCATCGGAAATGAAAACTTTATTTTAAAAATCCCATAGTTTTTTTAATTTTCACAATTCTTAGAGCCTACCCCATTACAGAGCCTGAAAAAAGTTAATTTAGCTAAATGAGAGTAAGCATTCTACAGGTATTTTCGCAGCTTATTTCGCGATCCGTTAAAATGTGCGTTTAAAAAGCTTCTATGCTAAATCTAAAAGAAAAGCTTGATTCTCTTTTCAAAAAATTTCATTAAAAACTTTTTGCAAATACTGTAACATCTTTTACTCCTTTTCATTTCAATTTCCATCAAAAAAATTCATAAAAATTTATATAATTAAGAATACCAACCTCCCCACCACCACAACCAACCCTTCTACTATTAACACCCAATCCATTTCTCGAAACAAAGCTAAAGCTGCTACTATTATTGCTCTCTGTCCTTCTTAATTGTCTCAATGTAGCCTTAAGTACAGGCGTTCCTTGTTGGATTGTAGCGTCGATAGAATGATTTTCTGGTGATTTATTTACAGCAACGTTTATTTGGCTAAACTCGGCTTTTTGAAGTGATTCTCCATCAAAGGAAGATTTTCCACTAAATCTTCGAGAATCGTAGTGAAGGGCTATTGAAGAGGGGGACTACAGAAATAGAGAATTAATTGAATGATTTGAAAATAATGTAGACTTACTAAAAATCCAGTAGAAGGACGTACCACTACTTGACGTACTCTATCTGAGGCTAATTGTAAAATCAAAAGTGAAGTAGCCTTTAAAATAAAAAATTTTCTAAGAACTTCTTGTTGAAGAAATAAAAAAAATGATATGTATTAATTTGAATTTTCTGAAATTCGGAATTGAATTTTAAAATATAAATTACGCCTTGAAGGGAAATGCCTATATTTTGCTTCTAAAAAACAGGGATTTGAAGGGAAGTGTAAAGGTAGTTAAGAGGATTCTCCCCAAGGATACTCGTGGATTGGGATAATTGCGGACATATGTATTGGGTTTGTTCGAAGAGACGTTTACATCAGAATAATGCGTTAGGATAGTGACTGAGGGAAAGAGTCATTATCCTAACGCGTTTGTCTGACAACGAGGGTTGAAAGCTCTCGAAGGTGTGCTAATTGAAAAGGTGAAATAAACCAAGTCTAGCTTATCCATTCTACCTGTTTAAGTTGTGATTGTATAGAACGGGCATGATGTCTAGCATATAAATAAAGCCTGTAGTAAAGAAAAAGCATCAAAGTAGCTGGTAGGAAGAAGCTAAGTAAAGAAGAAAAAACAGCATAAAAAGGAGATAATTGTAATTGGCATTGAACTAGTGTTGGTTGTTGTTCGATAAATCTGTTGAGAAAAAGGTGAATTTTTATTATAATTTTTAAAAATTTATGAGGTTTAAAACATTATTTCAAAGTTCAAATTTTTGGGAAAATTTACATAATATAAATTATTTGTTTTAAATTCGATTAAATGTTAGTTTTCATCAGATAAATTTGTATCCGATAGGTAGTATTTTGATATTTTTGTATGTCATTGCAATGCATTGACAGATTTAATTTGGAAAGGAGTATTATAGGTAGAGTTGTGATGATTATACAAATGCATATTTTTAGCAAACTTGCATAAAATGCACGAAAGTTTGCTGCATAATTTTGTTGCATAATGCATATTTTAATCATATTTTAAGGTTTTTGGGGAAAGTATCAAACAATAAAATCACCCGAAATACTGGCAAAATGGTGTAAATTTTGTGAAATTCACAACTCTAATTATAAGGATAGATTTTGTGGAATTTTCAAATATTGTAAATTTTCAATATCTTTTAAACTACTCCATTCCTCTAAATTGGGGTTTAGCTTTATTTTTAAATATCTACCTAAATTTATCTGTCTCATTAATCTCTCCAAAATAGTCTCCATTAAATATAACAGAATATATCTCCAATCCATTAGTAGCCCCAAAAGCTATTTGTGCCGTTCCAACAGCTGTAGAAATTATCCAAATAGCACAAACAGAACAACAAATAACCCTTCTTCCAACAAATCTATTTTTAGAATAAAATTTATTTTTAATTTGTAAAGAGAGGAAGAGGAACAGGTTCTGTTTTCCTATAGGGACAAGGACTGATAGAGCCTGGGTACACCCCGATATACCACGAGCACAGTATACCGCCGAGCTATAACTTCGTTCAAGATTGTCGAATCCAGTAGGTCCTGGTATAGTTTGATTCAGCTCGTCCAGCAGCATCGTCGACATACCAGGGCGTCCAGGATTCGACAATTTTTAGCGAAGTCATAACTCGGCGGTATACTGAGCTTTAGGTATATCGGCCTGCTCCCTCAAGCCCTATATCATTTCACTCCAAAATTAAATACTAAGAAATTTTATTTCGATCTTCACTGGCCAGGATACTGGGTTTCCCTGATTTCGCTATCAAATACCAGTCACTAAATTCTATTTCACATTTATTAGTCCCTGTTTTTCAAATATCACCATATCTTCAATTTATAGAAAAATAAAAGTAATTTAATCTAATTTTTGTTCCCTTAAAATAGAATCATTTAGCTTGTCTCATTAATTTTTCAAAAAAGAAATTTTTTGCAACTAAATTGGCTTCCTTTTACGGATATTTATTTATTTTTGTTTTTCTCCTTATTTAATTTTTCTTATTTTTTTCTATTATTAAAAAATCTATTTTTAAAATATCTATTTTTAAAAAAGCCACTAAATACATAATGTTGCCTAGGCAATATAACTTGCTTAAATTACAAAAATAAGTTTTTAAATTTTTTTTTATCTTTAGACACTGAAAAAAATTTATTTTCAGAATTTTTTTGAAATAATTTTCTCTCAAGTTATAACAAAAATCTCTTACTTATCTCACATTGTAATTAGGAGTGCCAAAATGGCCCAACTCAGACCGAAATATCAAGACGGGGATAAGATATTTGGCCCGAAAGTGACTCGTACCATCCCGATTCGAAAACGGCAACCCTAATTGTAATAAACAAATATTCTGTTGGGATATCTAAAAGATTGGAATATATTGGAGACCTGGGATATGTTAGAGGGGCATAGGTGAAGAAGGTGTGATCAGAGGTGAGTCTGAATTCCGATTTCCGTCGTTTTTTCCTTCCGATTTCCGACTTTTGAGTCAGTTCCGATTTTCGGCTTCCGATTTCAGACAAAAAAATTTAGGCAGGGATAAGGCAGATATTTTGGTGAATTTTGTATTTATTTTTAGTGTATTTCACACGGTTTTATTTTGAGAAAATTTTTTCTGAAATTTACTAAAGAGGACCCGAGGGAAATAGAAAAATGAATTTTTAATTTTAAAAGTCAAATAAAGAAATTTAAAAATAGGAAAATTTTGGAATAATTCTAAAAAAAAAGAAATGTGAGAAAAAATGACGAGAAAAAAAATTCAGAAAAAATTTTTGTAAAATAAAAATTGTTTACCTAACATAACGCATTGGTCTGCTAATGTGAATAAAACGATCGAGGGCTATTGCACACTGTAAAAATTGAAATAAAAATTTGTAATTGAAAAGAAGCCCGGGTAACCTGGCCTAAATTTTTAAAAAATCTGATGCAAGTCCGGCAATTTAATCTCATTAGTTCCTAGTTAGATAAACTGGTACTTATACAACTGCGTGGTGGATAAAGCTTGGTCATTTCATATGAAAATTTAATGTTTTATAAAAAATTTTTTTTTTAATTTTCTGGTCATTTTTAAAATATGGGAGAGAGAGATTTTATTAAAATTAGAGGCTTCTTTTAATTAAAAAAAATTTTAAATCTCTTCAAATAACCTACTAAATTTAAAATAGAAGCAGTACTACAAGCAATATCCAAACAAATCCAAAATTGACAAAAAGCAGCCCCAAAGGGCCAAAAACCAATTAAATCGTTTGCTGCCGCTAAAACCATAACCTTTAGGAAAATTTTTTTAAAATTTTCAAAAAAATTTTTTTAAAAACCATTCCAGCAACAAACAAGTCTGACAGTGCTAAAGAAACTAAAAATAAATTTTCTGGTTGTCTACGCAATTTTCTGTCGTAAAATATTGCTGCGATAACGAGAAGGTTGCCAGAAAAGGCAAGAGAAATTAATACAGAAAAGAGGGGGACACAAATTAAAAGAGGTAGCCACCAGGGCAACATTAAAAAAATTTTTTCTGAAAAAAATTTATTTTTTGAAATTTGCTTTGATTTTTAATTTTCCAATAAATAAAATTTTTTAACTTAAAAAATAAAAAAATTGTTTCTACTCATATTTTCCCAACCATTAGGCATCGTGTGGGCATAAAAAATAAATTACAGATTTCAAGAATCGAGACTATCGTAAACATGAAATTCAGGGACACTTTCCAAAAATTTTAGAAACAACGCTTAGCTCAACAGAAAGATTGTGTTTTCCCCTTGGTCCTGAGTTTATTGATCAACAAATAATGAACAGATATTGTTGATCACCGATCTCCTTTCTCATATTCATGATCGCTTCATGTTTAGGGATGCATTTTCTGTGGGTCCAAATATAAATCCAAAAATTCATGATGGCACCCACAGTATACACGCAAAAACTTTTAGCTGAATTTTCAATACATCTCAAGTATATCCCAAAATTCCGTTGGAAAAAGATTTTCCGGAAATCTAGAAACAAAACTTCACAACAAAATCCTTCGTGCCATAATAATTTTGCCAATCTACTTCGATTGACATTCAAAAATTACATCAGTCCCATTGAGAAAATGACACTAATTTTTTCAAGAAATTATTTAATAAAAAAATTTAAAATAAATAAATTATATTATGTAAATTTAGCAAGAAGATTACATAATGAATGGGGTGTTTGAAATGTCTGCTGAATCTGAAGTAGATTTATTAGCCTAATTTTTATCCGACATTATTAAATAAAAGTGTTATATGTAGTAGACAAATCACATTTTTATATAGCTCCCTATTTTATACACGAATTTTCTGTACCAAAGAAAGTATATTTATTTGAATGTGAGATCCGACTAAGTCAAAATTATTTTAAAATTTTTAGAAAATTTTCAATTGACTTGTTTTAATTGCCAAATAATCAGACATATTAAATAAAAAATCTACTCAATTCTTATAATTATTTTTTTAACAAACAAAAAAAACAAAAAACTAATTAAAATGAGGAAATACGTTAAAGGAAATATTTAAAAATGACTTTTAATAAATACTTGGTAAATGATGAACTTTAAAAAAATAATAAAAAAATGAGTGAGTTAAATATTAAAAAAAGATGACTTAAATACATATTTAATATTGACGAATTTTTGAAGTTTTTTTAAATTGTAGTTTGCTCGATAATTGTTAGTTAAAAAGTGGAATCAGGGAGGATTATAAGGCAAGTAATGACTAGTTGAGGATTTTTAACTCGGTCAGAATAAGAATTGGAGACATGAAATATTTAAAGTGATAGCTAAGATTGGCAGTTTCTGGAGGACTCATTCATACTCTCATTCATGATTAAATTTTTTAAGCTACTATTTACATAATATAATTTATTTCAAATTTCATTAAATGTTAACTTTAAACAACGCAACTCATTTGTTGTGTACATTAAGCATAGTAATATTTTTGAATGTCAATGGAATACATTGACAGATAACGTTTGTAGTTGATATGTAATGGTGGTGTCGGATCCGGATCAGAAAAAGGCCGGATATCATGCATTTACGGTTCGGATCCGAATCAGATCCTAAGTATTCAACTACCTATCTGACATCCTAGTATCTAACTCTAAACTTCTATCCGTTTGTCTTTAGTCTAGCTTCCTCATATTAATTGGACAAATATGGGAAAATTCAGAATTTTAGTATATTTCGTTTCTTTAAACTTTAATAATTTTTTTTTCAGACAACAGAAGTATGTACTAAAAAATTGTCAAATTATACAAAACTAATAAAAATATTAGAAAAATATATTTACAGAAATTTTGTCAATATACCTAGGTATGTAGATCTAATATTCGAAAAATTATGAGTGCGCGAGTTCTCGTGACCATGTGGAATGTTTAAAAAATTAAAGAACAAAATCATAAAATATTAAAAAATGGCAATAAAAATTTTTGAGAAATAAAAAGGTTAAAAAAGGTATCAGAGCAGTAAAGGTGTATGGATTGCGTGAGAAAAATTTTTATGAGGAAAGAGGCCAAAAATTGAAAAAAAAATAAAAATGGCAAAAATACATAGAATATATAAATGTTAAATGAGAGAAAGATATGAGATAATAAAAATATTTTCTGTGAAAGGGGGATGTATAAAAATGATTGAAGGTAAAGTGATACTGGAGATGAGTCTTTAAAGCAAGAAAGAATGAATAAAATTGCATTTTGACTAAATTTGGAAATATATACAGGGATCTAACGGATTGAGTTTCGAATTGGGTATTCAAAATTTTCTTCGGATCAGATTTCTGGTAAGCAGACCCTTCCTTGGAAGACACAAGTATAGACAAAGATATAATATGGTTGAATGAGACATATTAGAGGCGTTCAAGACTCTAGGTCTTGAGGTTTGACTCTAGACTTTTCTTGGGGGTTTCTTGGTCTCTGTCTTGAATTTTGGAAATTTTCGGTCTCGGGCATGTCTAATACATTTGTAATTGGAAAGAATATCTAAAAGTAATCAGAGGTTATTTTGGAGTAGTTTTGTCTGTTTGAGTCAAGCGGAAAGTACATATAACTAAGATTTGTCAGTTCGGATCTCAAAAAACGCAACGCAAGGCCAAAATTTAACGCAAATAATGCAAAACGCAATGCGCTCACCCCTGGTTCGGTTCCTCGTTTCGGTTCCAAATATCCAAGGATTTTCCAGAGAGACAGAGGATTAACCTAAAACTATACCCGTGAGTTCATTTTTCACAAAAAATAAATTTATCAAAAATCAAAAGAATTTTAACTTTCAAAAATCCTTTTTGTACTTTAAAAAATTATTTTTATATTCAAAAAATGTAGGCGTAAAATAGTATTATATTAAATAGCTACATATAAAAATTAATAGAAAATTAATAAAATAAAAAAAAATTAATAAATTCTAAAACGCTTTAATAATTTTAAAAAGATTTTTGCGACAGCTGAAAATATAAAAATAGGATTAATATATAAATTTTGTTTGCAAATATTTTATTGAATTAAATTAAATTAGAGAGAAAATTTTGGTGAAATAAATAAGAAAATTAAAATATAATTGAATTTAAAATTTTTGAAAATGGTCCAGAACAGGGATGAACCCAGGTTACAAACTCAAATAACGCAAAACGCAACGCAAGCCAAAATTTTCGCAAATAACGCAATGCGCTCACCCCTGGTCCAGACTCATCACACAATCGGGATATCACAAATAGGAATGATAAGAGTATACTTACGGAATACTAAACTATAGAATTACTATAGCATTCGAGTAGGTATTTACTAATATTTATTAATAAGCCTCCTAAAGAGAAATTTCGGCATTGAACAAAAAAAGAAACAAATGAACATATCCTTAATAATGGAAAGATTTTACATAATATATATAATCTACTTTAAATTTCTAAATATTAGTTATCATAAAAAGTAGCTTTTAACAGATAACAAGCCATAAACAAGTATTTTTGCAACAAATATGTTGACAAATAAATTTTTAATGTGGCTTTTAGGCAAATTTAGATATTCGAAACGTAAATTCCGTGAATGCAATAATAGTTTTTCGATCCTATCGTAGGGTGTGATTATATTAGGGAGTGTGCTCCAAATAGATAGTGTGGGTCTATTTTTAATGTGGCTTTTAGGCGGATCGTAGGGTGTGCTTATATTACGGAGTGTGCTACAAATAGGTAGTGTGGGTTTATTAAAGCAGTTTTTCCTTTACTCTTTCTTAATACTAGGTATAAACAAAGTATCCCTCAATCCCTAACATGGAACCGAAAGGAGAGTTCATTGAGAATATTTTTCAACTTTTAAGCAAAAAATATTAGTATAAGGATTTTAAAGATAATTAAATCCGTTAATAATTAGAATTAGACAAATAAAAAAATTGGTTACTAAATTATAAAAAAAAATTATATAATATAATCTATTTCAAATTTCATTTAATATTAATTTACACGCAAAAAACTATTGAGAAATTAAGATTGTCTATGTCTATTTTTGAATGTCAATCGGATACATTGACAGAAAATGGTTGACGGTTTTGTATGTAAATAATTCTGTAGAAAAAAACGTTAAAATTTGAAAAATATGAAAACCGGTTCCTGAACTATGGACATGAACTGACTCTAGCCCTCATAAAAGATTGTTAATTTAAATTTCTTTAAAAAAATATTTTCTTTAAAATTTTAACCTTTTAAATGAGTTTTGAACTTATTGTTGGGCCAACAAAGAATAAAGGTTGTCAATAAAAGTGAGAAAAGAAATGTTTTTGAAGGGGAATTGATTGACAAGAAGCATAAGGTAAAGACAACTTTCATCAAATATTAAAAATCATTTAAAATTAATTAATTAAACAAAAGAATTAACTAGAAATAAATAAATTTTGTGGCTAATTAAATAAAGGAAAGCAGACGGGGAGAACAGACAATTATTCTTATAGTTAGCTTGGAGACGGTTGCGGACTACTTTTGCGGACAAAATTAAAAATTAGTGAAATTGGGGCAAATGATAAATGAATAATGATATTGCCTTGTCTAAGTCTAATTTACTATTTCTGACAGATTGATCAGGAAAGTTAGAGATTTACTGACAGAAAAGTCAATTGAAGTCTTGAAAGATTGATGTCAATTTAAGTAAGATAAGCTTGAAAATGAATAACACAAAAATAACACATAACACAAGCCACGGCTCAATAAAATACAATCCGATTCCAAAATCCAAAAAGACTGTAGCCTTAATTAAGTTAGTCGAAGTATTTGCGAACTGCTTGTTTGTCCGCAAATGTCGCTCTACCTTTAATCCATTAAACAATTGTCAGTGTTATAGTTTTTTCAAATACTTAAGTATTAATTCTCTCCATTGAAACTAATTTATTTTATTCAAAAAATATAAAGAGGGGAGGGCCAAAAAACAAAAAAAATCCTTCATTTTCACTTTCTACCACTGTCAATTGTGTTTCTGACTTTTACATGTTTTTTGTCAGCCTAAGGAGAATGTCAGAAAGACAAGGGCAAAAGAAAGGCAAAAAATAAAAGGAAAAAAGCTTTTAAAGCCCTTTGTTCTTTTCACACCTTTTGAAAGGACAATGAGAGAGAGAGGAGGGTTAGTGGAAGAAAAGGGGGGATTTGTGTGATTTGGCCTTTTGAAAAGGCCCTTAGGCAATCTGTGTGGTTTGTTTAGACAAAAACATTTGTATAGAAGTGTGACGACAAAATGAAGGGGAAGAAAAACTAATTTTTGGGAGGTCTGGGACAGGAAATATGCTTATCTTTTTTGTTATGGATGCAAAACCTCTAAAGAACCTAGCCAAGCGTTCAATGCTTTTAAGAAGAAAATTTGCGGACAGAAAACATGCGTAGAAAAATTTGCGTACAGAACTTGCGGACATAATTTTCGGACAGAAAATTTGCGGCAAAAACTTATGGACTGAAAATTTGCAGACAGATATTTGGGGCAGAACTTGCGGACAGAAAACTAGCGGATAGGACACTTGCGTAAAAAATTTGCGGACAGAAGACTTGCGGACAGATTTGCGGACAGAAATTTGTGGCAAAAACTTGCGGACTAAAAATTTGCGGACTGTTTTGGTATACCATTCATTTCCTCTAAACATATTTTTCCTTTCAATGTAGGGAGGTCATTTCCCTATTGAACGATAAATAAATAAATAGATAGTCGAGAAGGGCCAATATCGTCTTCTTTTTTTCTTCAGATATGCCGCCAATGTCCCTTGGGAGTGAAACAAAGCCTTTCCCGGAAGTGAAGGAAATTGAGGGTTTTAAAAAGAGAAGAGAGGAGAGGAGAAGTACAAGCTAAAAAAATATTTATTTATTATTTATTTCTTCTTTAAATGAAAGAAAATGAATGGGGGAAGGGTTTTGTTTGGGTTTTTAAAAAAATGTTTTTGGGATTTTTATAAAACACGAGAAAATAAAAAGAAGGAATTAAAAGGAAAGAAAGGGAAAATTTTCTTTTGAAAATAAAAATGTCTGCAATTTTAATGAGAATATTATAGAAGAGAGGGTAATTAATAATAAATAAAAATTATTTGGGGCCAAATTTTGCGTTAAATTTTTAAAAATATTTCGGAGCATGGCAATGCATTTGAATAAGCTGTAATAGACATATTAGAGTTGGAAGGGATCGGGATTTGTCTTTCGGTCTCAGGATCAGCAAAATCAGGATCGGGATTCAATAAAACGGAATAATCCCGCCCGATCCCGGCCGGGATCCTGGCTAACTCTAGTAGATATCAGAAATTTCCTAAAAATTACAGGGAAAAACTGAGAACATCAGATTCTGTTGCAGAGTTTGCAGCGAAGAAATAATGGAAAATTTTGAAAACATTTTTTGGACTGTTTAGGAATTACGAAAAATTTGTTCCGGAAAAATATTGTTTTATAGCCTAGCTGAATAAAAATTAAAATGATGCTATTCGAATTAGAAAACTAAAACTTGGTTTTTTAAAATTAAATTTAAAATTTATTTTTGCAAAAAGGAAGTAAAAAGAAGGAAAAAAATAATTTTCCTCTCACTACTTAATATAAAATAATTTAAATAAATTAAATAAAAAAGCTAAAAAAAGAAAATAACAAACAACGCCTTTAACTAATTTCAGCGTCTCTCTTTTTTCTTTCCTTCCGTCTCTTTTGCTTGGCCACACATAGGAACGCCCATATGCTAATTGCTTGTTCACACACCTCTAGGTGTTGAGGAAAAATAAGTAAAAATATTCCAAGGGATTAAAAAATAAAAAACGGAGAAGAATGCGTATATTTGCAAATAAGGAAAAATTGACTCAAGGAGTGTAGAAATAATTCTATAAAAATACATCAATTAACTGATAAAGAGGTAAAATCTTTTATAAAGACCTGTGAAATATTTATCAATGCAAGGCATCGATATACAAAAAATAACATACAACAATTGAAAAATTTAGTCTTCAATAAACTTTAAAATGCATTTTTAATAAAATAAAAATAAAATTATTTATATTGAGTAGATTGTTAAATATTTTCTAATGGACGCCTAATTTAGAAAATTTAAGCCGAATGGGAAATAAAGTTTTAAAATTTTGTGAAAATAATTGATTTCTATAAGGATTAGTTCCATTAGGCATCTTGAATCGTTTTTGAAATGAATGCAGAAAAATATTTTTAATTACAAAAAGGCTCATTTGAAAACAAAGAACATTTTACCTATTTAAAAAATTATAAATTACAAATACTGCTTGACAAATTATTTATCTTTTAATCTAACCGTTAAAAACTTAACACGTTTAACAAAAATATTTTGTCAATTGAATCAATTGACACGCAAAAATATATAATTTGAAAAAAAATGATGATGCTGTAATTATTCAGCTTTAATTTTACTTAAAATAAATTTAGAATAAAATACATTATATTAAATAAAATTGTTCTTATTTAAAGAGTTAACGAATGTCCAAGTTCTTACAAAATTCACTATATGAATATAACTTAAAACAATGTTTCACTAAATAACTTAACTAAAAATAAAATAAGATTTTAAGCTATCCGAATGTTAAGGACACAATATTTGGGGATTTTGAGTTTAACTATTTTTGACGAAAACGTAAAAACAGGTCATTAATAACAAGGTCATTTATAAAAAAATAGTAAATTTGTCCAGTTTAAAAAGTCATGGCCATAAATAAATTTTTATCGTTCCAACGAATATTTGTAAATAATTCTGTCAATTACTTTAATTGACATTCAAAAATATATGAGTGGGACGTCACCAATTTAGTGTTATCTCCTAATTAAGCTTACAATTAATCTTAAATAAAGAATGTTATATTAAATAAAATTCGAGATGGAAAATTTAAAGAGTCAATGAAAGGCGAAAATAAACAATAAATTTAAAATGTATGTTTCTGGTACAAAAATCAGAATTTGCGGTTTCAAATAGTCTGGACATACGAAATTTTCAATTCGATATCGGATTCGAATATTTATGTAATTTGAGGAGTTAAACTTAAATAAAGGCCAAGAGACAAAAGAACGTTTTTTGACTGGACAAAATAAATTCAAAAACAAACAAAAATAAAATATTAAAATGCCACCTTCTAAAAACAAAAATAAAATAATGCAAAAGCGTATTTTTTCTGTAATTTAATAATACCCCAAAAAATATTTTTTGTCTTCGTTGACATTTATTTTTATTTTCAAAAATTATTTTTGTCTTCAATTTTTACTCTTAAAAATAAATATTGTTATTATTATTTTAAGCATTTTTTTGCTTTTCCTTTTTGTTGCTATAGCAAGTACTCTTTAAATAAATTTTGTTCTCAGTCTTTGGCCTAAAGATACTTGAGAACCTTTTATTTTAGGTAAATTTAAATGTTTATTTTTTAAAAATAAATATTTTTAAAAATATTTGAAATTAAAGAGAAGCTTAAAAACAAACTTATAAATAATATTTTAAAAAATATATTAAAAATTTGGGGAGGTTCAGGAAGATTTTTAGATGTTTTTTAAGAGAAAAGTTAAAATTCAAATAACGAAACTTTTTGAAAATTTAAGAAAATTTCCTAAATATTTCCTAAAACGCTTGACCTGTTTAAACAAGATACAGGTTCCATTGCTTCAAGTATCTTTAAGTCAGGGTTCGGAAATGTGCGGATTTTTCCTTATTTTATCCACAACAAAGATGTAAACAAATCCTTGAAATTTTGCCAAAAATTTCTCGACCCTCCCAGCCAAGCTCCGGTTACTAGGTTAACCCTTGTAGTTTGATTTTGATAAAAATATTTTAAGTGAAAAGCGGTGGGAGTAGCTACGTATCAAAGAGGGGCGAGTATATTAATAAATAAAAAATATAACTTAAATAAAGCTGTTATATATCAAAATATGTATGAATGATTCAAAACGATATTTTATTAAAATTTCTGATATGTAAAACAAGAAGTCAAAGCCGATTAAAAGAACCGATTTTTAAAATCAGCCTGTTCCTTAATTTAAACGTTTCTAAACGCTAAACTATAATAATTAGAAATAATCTATCAATGCAATGCATGATATTCAAAAATAAATATGGAAAAAATTATCATGATATCACGAATTAACGGCTTAATAATTAATTTAATAAAAATATTGATTAAAATATTTAATATTAAGCAGAAATTTTTTGATATTTTCTTTATTCGGGCAAAAAGCGAAATTTTTATTAGAGGTCGGCAAAATCGTGTTTGCGGGATCCCGCGGGATAAAAATTTTTTAAAAATCTTTGCGGGACGGGATCCCGCGGGATAAATCCCGCAAAATCCCGCATTCCCGCAAAATCCCGCATTTTAAATTTGCGGGATCCCGCGCGGGATTGCGGGATTTTCCAAAAATCGTTAAAATTATCAATATATGTTAAAAAAAATCGATGTTTTAATCATTAACGGGTTCTTAACTGTATCTTACTTCGTACCAAATTACGAGTACAAGTTGGTACAAACGTTAGGCACTTACCCCAGGTCCCCAATTATCAAAAAATCATAAGGGGCAAGCTCATACATATTGGTTGGAAAATTCAAGTATACGAATTAGAATAGCTTGAGCTGAAACATGTGGGATCAACCATCGTGATAAAACAATTTGGGCAATTTTGTTTTGATGTAATAGAGATGATTCCATGTTCGGCATGCGAAAATTTTGGAAGGCCAAGTATCCAAATTCCTATCGTTTTCAGCGCCGCAGGCAAAAATTTCGAGATTTTAGAAGGCCAGCAAGTCAAAATTCCACTTTTTCAAGCGCCGCAGGCGAAAATTTTTTTAGTTTAGGAGGTTAGGAGCCAAAATCCTCCATTTTCCAAAAATCCCGCAAAATTCAAAATATTTTGCGGGATCCCGCGGGATAAAATTTTTTTAAAAACCTTTGCGGGACGGGATCCCGCGGGATAAATCCCGCAAAATCCCGCATTCCCGCAAAATCCCGCAAATCGAAAAAAGTGCGGGATTGCGGGACGGGATCCCGCAAAATCCCGCGCGGGATCCCGTCCCGCACCGACCTCTAATTTTTATACACCGTAATGATCGCTCGTGAGATAAAGTTGGTAACTAGGAGAAGAAACCGATTCTTATAATCAACCAATTATTCAATTTGAATCTGTTTCTAAACTTGACGGAATAATAAATAGAAATAATCTACCAATGCGCTGCAATGATATTCAAAAATAAATTCGAAAACGTCTACTTTTAATGCCATCATTTCACATTTTACTAATTATTCTAATAAAAAATTACTTAAAATATTTAATATTAAGCAAAATATTTTGAATATTTTCTTTAGAATACACAAACAAAGTTTATTAAATTCTTGAAACTTGGTTAGCAACCCGACCCTTCGGATAGGTCGATGAGGATTATTTTTAAAAATGCGGATTTTTGTGGTCTTTTGAAGATTATGATGAATCTTCTATTTTCTTTTAGTTTTTGGAATAAATTTTTTCTCACTTAAGGCCTTCCAGAATCCTCGGTATTTGTGCCTGCGTCACAAAAAACTGTTAATTTTTTGGCTAGAAGTCTTCAAAAAAGTTTTTGCATATTTTTTTATAAAAATGAGGTTTTTTTAGCTCAGAATTGCGGATTTTTAAAAAATCGAGACAAGTGCCATATCTTAAGTACAGATTTTGTATAAACATAAACGAGTGACACGCCAATGTGGAGACTTAGTTTGATGTAATTTTTTGATTGAATTCAAATACGAAATTTTATTAATTGTTAGCAATTAAAATTGCGTTTTAATTGCCACGAAAAAATAAAATTAAAAATTATTTAAAGTTTATTTTACACAATTTATGAGCTATTTTATTTAATTAAATTTAATTAATTTGTGTGTGGGGGTGTTAAAAAACAAAAGCATAGTAATAATTTTGGGCAAAATAATGGCGTCAATTTAATGGGAAATGAGCTCTTTTTTTTAAAAAAAAACTTTTTAAGCTCTAAAAAAATTAAAAGAAAATTAATTTTTACATTAAATATCTAAAAATATTTTTATTTAATATTCGAATAATCCATCTCTCTGTAAAGCATAATCCTCATTTCCATAAGTAAATCCTTCGAATTCGTTCTGAAATTAATTAAGGGGGTTTTTAATTAATAGAAAATTTCTTAATATGGTAAATGATAGAAATAAGAAATTTATGAAGTGTTGGAGAATTTAGGAATAAATGTTAGAAATGTATGGTAGTATTGAACGTGCCGTTTCGATTATCGAAATAGTAAAGTTATAGTCGATACAAGAAAACGGAATGGGAGGGCCGTATGAGCACCGAGCTCGATCTTTATCAATCTTGCAGAATTTCAAATATGTATGTTCAAATCTGAATATTTTATAATTACTAAGATTCTGCTTAATATAACATAATTTATTTTTAATGTTATACATATTACTAAAATTAGTTCGAAGTGTACTCTTGGTATCGTCAATTAAATATTTTTGTATATCGATGCCTTGCATTGATAAAAATCGAGCTCGATACAAGCTCCTACTACATAAAATAAAAAATTGTTTACTTGATCCAAATTCATGAGGAAAAGACGATCTACAGGAGTTAATTTAGGTTGTTCTCCAGTAAATTCTGAATCAAAGTTGCTTGTGTCATCCCGAGAACGCTGAAAAAATTAATTTAAATTTCTTTTTCTCATAAGAAATTTTTTTCAATTTTTAAAAATTTCGGTTAATTAATTCTTTATTTGTCAATATTTATTTATTATTTATTTTTCAAGAATTTAATTATTTATTTACTATTTTTAATCCATAAGCAAAAAATATATTTATTTCAGAAAAAATATTAAGTGGTGTAAAAAAATAAAAAAAATATTAAAAAGGCAAGGTATGTAGTAGGAGGGGATTAAAAATAAGATATAAAACATCTAAACAAAAAAACACGTGGTTAAAACAAAAATAAAGTGATTAGAAAAATAAGGATTAGAATAAAGAAATATGTATATAAGGGATTAAAAAAGGAGAAAAGTAGGATAATATCCACCTTCCGGAAAGAATAATAAAATTGTTGGGGACCATCGATGATAGAATCTCTAAAGAGACACTAGCTAATAGAGCTGACGGATGCTGGGAAATCTCTTTATATTTTAGATTTTTATTATTTAAAGGCTGTCCGGTGACGGAGAGAGCTTCAAGTAGAGACCGGACGAGACGAGATCTCAATAGAAAATCTCTGTTATTGAGATCGAGAATTTTTTGAAATCTTGACTCTCGTACGACACTCCCAGCCCGGTCTCTAATTGCGAAAATAATTTTTGTGTGGCAACCCCAATATGGTGGATAAATGTAAGAATCTATTACTGGCGCTGCAGGCGAGTTTTGAGAAGTTTGCAGGGCCAAGAAACAAAAAAATAAAATTAGTTAAATGAAAATATATACATTAATATCACAAAAATACCACATTAAAAAAATTTAAAAAATTAAAAAGAAAAATTAATAGTTAACAGACAAATTGTTAATATTAACAGCATCATCATTACATTCACTATTTAATTTCAAATTTTGTTTTTCAATTTCCTCTTCATTTAATTCTTTAATATTTCCATTATTTAATTCTTCTTTATTTTTCCCCAAATTTTCTTCAACAAAATTTTTATTATGCCCTAAAAGAGCTTCTTCTGCCTCCCTTCCATATTCTGCACAGGCAGCCTCCGCCGCATAATCAAAATTAAAATGATCAAAACTAACAAATTCGTCTCCCTTCATTTCCTCCAAAATATCCCAATCGGGTTGGGTTAATTTTAGTGGAAGTCTGAGAAATTGAGCATCGAAATTTTCTGTTGACGATTTGCTGGACTAAACACAAAAATAAATAAAAACAAAAAAATCACAGCACAAAAAAGGGGAAAAATTTAATTTTACGGATTTTTAAAAGGAAAGAAAGACTTACAATTTTAGGTTTGAAGGGAGGTTGAACTTGCCGCCTTTCTATTTTTGGCCATTCTATACGACGGAAGAAGCAGTGCTCCTAGAAAATTTTTCTGATATAAATAGGGTTATATGAAGTTTTTCAGTACAGAAATGGTATCGGTTTCTGTACTCTCGAATCAGAATACCGATATGATAAATCGGAATTTAAATATAGACTAATAACTTATTATGAGTAAAAATTTCCAATTTGTCCCAAAACAGAAAAAAGCCACAGTTCACCATGCTTATATGTGTACATATATAAGTATTCATAAGTAGGTATGCCCCCATCCCAAAAAAGTAATTGGTAGGGATTTCAAGAACACAAAGCTGTATTCTAAAATATTCTATTTTTAATTATATCCCAATCTTTCATATACGGGCAGATATTTGTTCTCATTTGAATACCTATTTTATAATTACTAAGATTTGTGCATAATATATTCTATTTTATTTTTATAAAACTAAGAATAATTTTAAAGCCACGTTATTATGATTAGCCTCGCAGCAGTTGTATATTTTTGGATATCGATGCTTTGCATTGATAAATAAAATAAGTGAGAATATGTATTCTATGTACGTTAGTGTGAAGATTACAAGTGAGAAATTATGTTAAATAAAAAATCACGAATTAACTTGCCTTAACATTACGTTCTCCTTCAGACCCACATCCCAACCTTTTGGATGGGGGTTTGGTTAGAAAACCTTTACAGATGAGAACAGACTCTTTGGACATTGATTTTGGATAAGATACTAAAAAATTTAATTTTTGTTTAAAATTTTCCAATTAAATAACCATTATGTTCTGTTATTGCAGTAAATAATTCATCTTCATCCTCACCATCAAAAGGGGGTTGTCCTGCTAACATTTCAAAAAGAAGCACTCCAAAGGCCCACCTAAGATAAATTTATTTTTTATAAGCACCCTCCTAAATATGTACAAAAATAAAAAGAGAGGGAAAAAAGGAAAAGAAATTATGTTTTGGATGGAAATGAATGAAAAAATATGTGGAAAAAACGGATTCATATCACCTTATCAATTCAAAATAAGGTGATATGATGAAAATAGGATTCAAAGATCAAATTTCATAAAAAATTTTAATATTTGGAAGCCCTAAAAACAGAAATCTTAAGTTTCTGGCAATCTTATTAAAAGAGTCTACCGAAAGAAAAGTCGACTCTTCTTTCGAATCTGTTATGAATAACACAATTCTTAAACGCTAAACTTATCAATTTAATGCATTGATATTCAAAAATATTGGATTTGGTGACTTCAGTGCTTATAGTTACAAATTAACAGAATTAAATAATAATAATAATAATTAAAATATTTTATATTAAGCACTTTTTAAATTACTTCTCTATGTATTTTGAGAGAATATAAACCCAGCAAAGTCAGCATAAATTCATGATATCTTATAAAAATGCCTTACTAATGATAATTACTCCTTAAAACCTTTTTTTTAAATTTTGGCTTATTTCGAAGGCCAAAATTTAAAATTAGCCTACTAAAGATTGTAATAGTTTTAATAAATTTATATGTAGGTAGTTGAGAATATTTTACAAAATTTCAAACTACCTATTCATACTATTCATTTTTGAGAAGTTTATAATTTTTTAATTTAGCGACAACTAAACGATAACCTGCTTAATATATATTTTATTTTGTTCTAATTTTATTAAAATAAAATTTTATGACAGTCAATGTCGTGGTGCCCATTTTTGTCGAGATATTTTTGGATATCGATGCATTGCATTGATAAAAAAATTGTAATTAAAATTCCGTAACTTATTCGGTGATTGAGTAGGGTAATGGAATAAATTTTGTTCGCCTAAAGATTTAGTAATTGTCGAGAATGTACTAAAAATTTTTTGATTCTGAAACGAAGCAGTTTGGTGAAAATTTGATAATACAGTCCTCATATTAAATAAGAGAATGTTTTTGAAGTACTGACACCTATATCTTGTTAATTTACGAGATTTGAGTTCTCGTTGGTCACAATTAATAATTCAAAATTAATTAAAAAAAATTTCCAAACCAATCAACAGATTTTCCATAAGGTTGGTAAAGAATAATTTCTGGAGCAATATAATCAGGCGTTCCACAGAAAGTTTTTGTAGTAGCATCACCCACAATACCTTCTTTACACATTCCAAAATCTGTTATCTAAATGGAATTTTTTTAAATATTTTTCCTCAGAATTTGTCAAACTTTAATATGTCCATCCCTTTCAAGCATTACATTATCCAATTTTAAGTCTCTGTAAATTATTCCTTTTGAATGAAGGTAGAAAAGTCCACAAGCTATTTCTGCTGCGTAGAAACTTGAAGAAATTTTTATTAATTTCAAAATTAATCTTGAAGTTGAATCCTCTATTGGGAAGGTTTGGAAAGTTGTTTGGTTACTAGAGATCGAGTTGGAGGTTGACCGCAGCATGGTTTTTGTTTAATTCCTAGCTTAGACCAACACGTATATTTTTAGATCCATTTGTTTTCCCGTGCTTTTCCCCTCGCTACAGATCAAGAGGGACATGCTAAGAAAGAATCTAATCGTGTACCGAATCGAAAAGTCCTGTTTTCAGAAAAATACCTTCATTCCTGCTCCACAGAGTGAGGGACCGAGGATGAAGAAACTCAGGAATAATAAAATAATATTCAGGCACATTATCAGCCATTTCTCCCCTTCACTAGCCTATACCAATCCCAAAAAGAAGGAAAAACTTACACGGCAACAGGCTCTTTAAATTTCCCAACTTGTTGTATTTGATACATCAAATCACCCCCATTAACAAATTCCATAACAAAATAAAGTCTATCCATTGTCTATTAATACAGGGGAATTTTCCAAAAATTTCTTTTAATTCTACCTGAAAACAAGAAAATAAAGCTACAAGGAATGGAGGTTTGTCAGGTAATGCAAGAACCCTTTTCTCGACCATTGTACATTCAACATCGTCATCTTGGATTATAACATCCTGAAAAATAAAGCAAATATCTTTAGAAGAGGAAATGTTAGAAATATGACTTTGCCAAACGTCTTTGTGCAAGTTCTTAATTGTTAAGTGATACCTCTATTTCACCTTATCCCAGATTATGTAAGATTTTTCAAATCCAAAGGCGTATAAAATAAGATTCGAAAGTAAGTAAACAAGTAGTATTTGGTGGAACCATGAAGGACAAAGCCATAACTTGGTGGAAAATGTCCGGTCCTTATAAATTTTGGTAACACTCTACTTATCTTGATTAAAGGAATCGTCTAATACTAAATTTGGAAAGATTAGTGAATCTTGAATCAAGTTTTTGGAGTGTCCCAAATTGATTTAAGCTTGTAGTATATGCTCTTATCTTAACTCTTGCTATATTAATTTCCATCTTATTCTTACTTTTTTAAGTATTTTAATAGCAAATAATTCTTTAGTTTGTTTGTGTTCTCCAAGAAGTACTTTTCCGAAGGATCCTTTTCCCAAAACTGTCAAAAAATTAAAATCGCTAGCCACACATCTTTGGGCAGGTTTTGAATTGTTATTACAAGAATTCTCTAAATTATTGTCTGTAGAAGCTCTTTGTTTTGCATTGGCCAAATGTGGTTTGTTATTAACTTTTTGTGATTTTGTAGAGTGTAAATCTGCCATTTTCTTTTGGAGTTTTTCTATATCTCTTTCATTTTCTGGAGGTATTCGAATGTTGTAATATTCACCTAATGATATGAATTTATAGAATATAATCATGAAATATCTAAATGTCTAATAGTTGCCTGATCAGAATTTTAAATAAGGTTCCCCAGGGATCTAGTAGCTTTTTAAACGACCATTTGCACCGTACACGCAAAAAGCTAATCTTATTTTTAGTTAGATAGGATTTGATATTCCCTTCATTTATCATGTATCAAAGACTATTGGAATACAGCCGTGCCGTAAGATATTAAAATGCTAAGTTTATCGAAGTAATATGTAGCAGGATCGGGCGCAAGAGACAATCTCAAAACCGCAAAACGCATACCAACTCAAAAAACGCAATGCACCGACCTCTGATATATAGTACTTCTAAAATTTGTCAATAGGTCTATTGACATTCAAAAATATCGTTACAGCAACAATTATTCCTTATAATATGAATCTAACTTTAATTAGGTATATATAATTAATTTAAAACAAATTATATTATACTAAGCAAGATAACTTGATTAAAAAAATAAAATGCTAAATTGTTGCAACATCTTATTTCCCGAAACTATCAAAAATTGTTCAAAGATATCTAATAAAAAATATCAGAAACTTGCAATCGAAGTTTCGAAACAACGTTAATTAAGAGCTTTAATTTTACCAAAAGTAAATTAACTCACCTTCTTCATCATTTAACAATTTAAACCACCCATCGACAGGTTCTTTAATTAATTCACTAATTCCAAAAGAAAGGGAGCCCATAAAATCGTTCCTGCTAGTTCTGTCCCAATCCCACACGGCAACAGATAAACGTCTATCTTTGTCAGAAGGTTCTAATTTGAAGGTAAAATGTTCGTCCCAAACGGGGTTAAGTGTTGATTTTATTGTTTTTGATTTTTGTTTTGGTTTGCATTGTTCATTCTCTTCAAAAGGGATAAGTTTTAGTTTGACGTAGGGATCTGACAGGCCATTCGGATCCATTGGAATTAAATTTCTTGCCTAAAAAAAGAATTCAAATATTTTGGAAATGGAAAAAATATTTATGTTGAATTAATTCAAGTATAGAGATTAGCTAATGAACCTTGATCATTCCTTAATACAGAATGAAAATATTGGTATTCACAATAATTCTACAGACTGAATTTATTGAACCATAGCCAAAACCCTTTTCACGTCTAGAAGGAGAAAGCTCAGTCAAAGTAAAATATGATCACAAGGTATGTATTAGTGTTATTCACGGTACCGTATTACGGCGGTATTTTTCGGTAATACCGCGGTATTTTTACCGAAATACCGATACCGAATACGGTACCGAACAATTTTTAAAAAATCGGTATTTTTTCGGTATCGGTATTTTACCGAAAATACCGATACCAATACCGAAAAAACGCGTTTGAATAACACTAGTATGTATATGTACCATGCTCATAATTTTGTCAATTATACTATCATTGACATTCAAAAATACAAGACATCAACAAGTTTGATACAAATTTCCCATTTTAACGTTACTTATAATTAATCACAAGTAAATTATATTATATTAAATAAAACTGCTTGATGAAAAACTTTAAAAAGTCTAAGTTCTCTAAAAGGTTACCTCTCTGATATATACATTTAAAACACCATCCTTTACATGGCATTCTAAATTGATACGTCCTCTTTTCTCTGTGTGATCTGAGCCACATAAATTAGGTACATATCTGACACAACGATGATGAACTGAAAAAATGAAAAAAAAAAACTGAAAAAAAAAAATTATTTAGAAAATCTGAGGATTTTCCTAGAATTTCTCTGGGTGTTCATGAGTGTGGATTCAGAACTCAACCAAAGAACAGATGATTTTTCACATTTGATTTGCGGATTGTTCACTTTGACAATGTAAAAATAGGTAATTAAAAATTTGAAAACATGGATGTCTGGCTCTTTTAATCTCGTCAGGGAATAGCCAAAGAGAATAATTTGTCAATTAATTTTATTGACATTCAAAAATTTACAGGTACTATTTTGAAAATATTTGTTTAATTTCGACGCTCTAGCTTTACATATAATCAAGAATAAAATATATTATATTAAGCAAATCAGAGGGTTTCTAAGGATTTAGAATTGTTGAGTGTATCATGGAAAGCTAGTGTGGACGGTAGAATGAGTTAGTGCAAATGGTATAATGAAACTCGACAAAAAACCCTTCATTTTCGAGTGCAAAAGCACGGGACGGGACTCAATTTAAGATATAAAATCCTCACCATATTGGTCACAATGTTGGCATTTCATTCCTTGATGGATTAATCCGTATAGAAGAGATCCACAATGGTCACAAAATGTTGGGGAAGAAACTGTCGTTACTTTCCATCTGTGTTGCTGTCTGGGGTCCTTTCAATTTACAAAAATTTCTTTTTTTAATCAAGAATACAAACATCACTATCAACACCCTTATCTGCACCAGGACAAGCAAAATTTACAAATTCATGGCACCTTTTATGGACAACCTGAAAAAATGTGAGGAATTGGAGAGGTGGGCTGTAATATCGTCTGAACACAAGATTTTTTCATTTATCCCTATTCTTGTTATCCTAAACTTTATCGTTTTTTGAATGTTCTCACAGAACCTGGATGACCTCACAGAGATATCTGATTAAGTAATTAAACAATTTCAGATACCCTAGATGACTAAATATTCCATAGAGGCTTTATAACTAGGGCTGGGAAAAATATGCAAATGCATATTTTGTATGCGGATATACCTTGATGAGAAAAGCTTAAAAATGGTATTTTTACATTGGTCCGAGCAATTTAGGACCCGGTTCTTAATGCATATTTTTGCATATTTAGGCCCTCTCGTGCATGCTGCATATTGGTGCATATTTTGGACACATTTTGCATATTTTAAGGTATATTTTATGGCATTTCCTGTGCAATATAAATTTGTCAATTATTTTTATTGACATTCAAAAATTTACAACACGGATTTGATGGCCTTTTAATACGGCCACTCTATATTTACATATAATCTTTGATAAACTATATGTATTATATTAAGTAAATCAGAGGGTTTTAAATCAGTGATTAAATCTGAGGGATTTTTTCCCAGCCCTATTCATAACTCATATAAGATGAGTGTGCTGTGGATAAGTCAGAAATTTTAAATTTATAAGAATACAAAAATTAACCAGTGTGCAGACTTGGCATTGAAATCCTTGCTTATTTAATCCCCAAATAAAATCTTTGCAATGTGAGCAAAATGTTGGCTGTTTGAAAAAGCGAGCAATGAATTTATGTAGTCTATTATTTAATTTTTAAAAATTTATTTAAAAAATAATTTATAAGACTTACTTAACTTCGTGTACATTCTTTTGCCTTAAAGCTCCTCGACGTATAAAAGCTTTTCCCTCAATACGTTGGGCTAGAAATTAGAAAAAGTAAATTTTTTAAATAACTTTTCGTTGACTCTCGTTATAATTACAAAGGTACACTTAACTCATTGTACTATAAATTTATAGACAGGGATTTCCTTTAAGTACTCTCATATCACCCATTGTGTAAAGAAATATTAAATAGTCTGCCAATTAAATTAATTGACATTCAAAAATATTCACAGTGCTTCTTCATGATCAATCTAACATTGTTATTTTAACTTTAATTAAAACCATTCTAAAATAAAATATCTTATATTAAGCTAATTGCGGGTTTCTAATGATGAATAAAACCTGAGCTCAATTATGACGAGAGTTAAAATATGACTTTAATTTAAAACATATTCTTAATTTTATAGAAAAAATATTTTTAAAAAATTTAAGCAAAAATATTTTTCATTTTTAAAATTTAATTTAACACACTAACAATGTTGGAGATTTTCTTTAGAATTATTATTTATACTCTTTAAATTCTCAACACAACAATGTTCTTGTTGTTTTTGTTTTAAAGAATTTTTATTATTTGTTGAGGAAGAGGAGGATGTAGAAGAGGAATTGTGACTGCCCCAAGGCATTCTTTAAAAAAATACAAACTTGGGGTTTGAGAAAAGTATAAAATCTCTTTATTGGGGTTAAATAGAGATCGAGAGGTACTGGCAAAGGTAGCGTTTGGAAAAATAAAATTAGGAATGCTTTGATAGTTAAGAAATTACACTTAAATTTTTTTAAAATCGTTAAAAACGGAGAACACGGAGAGGTACTGTAAGGGGGTTGTTGCGGCAATTACCGATGATACTTCCAGATATAGCAATGCAGATATAAAATTTAAGAAAAAATGATTGAATGTAGTCTGTTTTCTAGTGTCAGTTGACTATTTTCGAACCCTAAAGTTAGAATGATTTCTGTAATTAAACGGGATTGAAATCATCAATAAATAATTTATTTTTTTTCAACTGCAATTGTTATATCCAGAAAATTCTACACGTGAAGGGGAACGGTGGAGAAGTATTTGGAAGGAAAAGTTTTGGAAAACAAAGAGAATTGAGAATGTTTTGATTTTTTACAAAAACATATTATTTATTGTTCTATTTTAATCCCCCCTCTCCTATTTAAAATGTAGCAATACTAAAATTTATGAAATTTTATTTTATTTATTTTTGGTTAAACAATGTACTTTTGTCCTAAAAATATTTTTTAAGTCTTCTTATAGGGAAAAATAAAATTGAAAAAAATTATACGGAGGAAAAATAAACCAAAAAATAAATAAATTTATAATCGGGTCGGTTGTAAAAAAATAAAATTTTGGGGAGCTAAAAGTTTAGAAAATATATAATCGATTTAGCAATTTACCCAAATTTAAAGTTTTTTTTGCTTTATTTAAAATGCTTTTTTAAGGGAGAAGCATCGAATTGGCCTTTTGGGAAAGGCAATTATTGGGCACTGTGGTCTCTATCGGGGTAGGGTGAAAGGAACAAAGGGGGTAGTGCGTAGGGAACATAGGGGGAGAAGAGGAAAGGGGAAAGGGGGAAGGGGAACAACCGGAAAATGAGAAGAAAATGAAAAAAAGCTGTGGAAAGGGTTGGAAATTGAAGAAAAAAGGGAAGAGTTTTGGGTAACTACTACAAGGATTTTGCTTTTCCCTTTCCCATTTTTTGGGCAATTCGATTGAGTTAGGTGGCCATATCTAAAAAAGGAAGCGATAGTAATAAAATAAAATTTAGAAAAGAATATTATAGAAAGGGAGGAGGTTGTATAAAAATCAGTTGAGCAAACAAAAGTCTTCCTTCCCTACTAGGGGTGTCTTCCTCTGCAGCGACCAGCCGAGGTTATGAAAGGATAAGTAAAAGCATAATATTCAGGCGATGAGCAATGAAGGGAAGAAGAGGATTTTGTAAAAACGGGAAGGAAGAAAAAGAGGATGGCTAAACAAGAGGATGAGCAGAAAAACTGAAGAAGAGATTGAATGCGTAGGAAGAGGTGTGCGTGAAAATAGGGGCGGAAGTAGTAAAACGGAAAGGAATGAAAAGGAAAAAGAACCAGCCGATCAATTGCCCACAACTATTTATTGACTAGTTGACACTAACTACCAGTCTCTTTCTATTTATAAATACGTGTGAGTAGAAATAGATTTTTAAAATTAAATCAATGTTTAATGACATGCGCACGTGTGAATGTTTTTAAAGAAGAAAGTATATTTGGTTAGATAATTTGAAAAAATATTTCATGAAAGATTAAGCTTCTAAGTAAAATTAAAGGTAGTAAGCAGAAGAACGTTTCTGTTATTAAAAGATTAAATTAATTTGGAATGGATCGAATGAATGGTCCGCTACTGTGATTGCGTACTATAATTCTGAGTGATTTATTAAAATATTCTCAAAAATGATCAAACTACATAATCCAAAAACCACCGATCCAGAATTAATTCTTCCAAATTAATTTAATCCTTTAACAGCAATGTTCTTCTGACCCATGTGTACACTTTTTGAGGAAAAAAAGAAAGGAAAAGAAAAATAAACGGATAATGCTATTGCTATTGCCCCAATTCATAATCTTCGGGGATCGGGCCATGGCTATACGCAACTGAAAAAAATTTTCCGCAACCGCAAGTCAGAAAAACACTCATTTCACGCAATACGCAACTGTGTACAGCCCTGATCGGGATGGCCAATACACAGTTATCGGTTTTTTAGAGGATGAGAAAATTGTTGAGATTAATAGAGAGATTGAGCTATTGGAGAGAAAGGCTGTAAGGTTGAGTCCAATAGAGGATATGGAGGGATTAAGACCAATTATGAATGGATTTGGTGAATTCATAGAGGTATTGAGGGAATCTAGGATTAACAGAGATTTATTTAAGGAATGAGTAACCTCTGCAATGGAGAGGTTATTAAATCTTAACCAATATTATATTTTTTTCAAATTAAATTATATTTCATTGCGCAAGTCTAATATTTTATCTAATTAAAAATTATTTAATCCTCACGCTTTTTCCCTCGATTATTCCAGAAAAACACCAACGGCCCCATCAACCGTATACATTTACTTCTTCGCTGTCTTCTTTCACGCAAAGCTTTTTGTGACTCGTGCCTTCTTTGAGAGCGTGCAAAAGCAATAGAATCTGGCTTTAAAGGGATTTCATCAACTTCAACAGCTGCCATTGAAGGGGGCTTTTCACCTTCTCCATCCATTTTTTCATTTTCTTCGTCTTCTATTCCATGATAAATTTGTTCGATTTTTGGGGGTAAATGGTGGCCATTTAAACTTTCTTCATGAGGGGTATAATGATACTTTAATGAATGGAAGAAGGACACTTTTCTAGGGGAGCGTAGGACATCGTCTTCTGTTGTAGACTTTCTTCTAGTTGGGTTTGTAGAGGGCAGTTTTAAGGCTGATTTTTTCAAAATAGGGGAATTGGAGGATGTTATTATTGAAGGAATATTATTTTGTTGTTGATTTTCTGTTAATGATAATTTTGAAGAAGAAAAAGAAAGATTTGATGAGGGTGGTATGGCTGCGGCCATGTCATTAGTATTATTATTATTGGATGACATTACCCCATCAACATTTATTTAATTAATTAATTATTTTTGTGTAATAGAGAGAGGAGAGGGGAGAGATTTTTGTGTTGAAGGGCGATTAGAATATTTATTTTTATTTTTTGATTGAGAATGTGTGAGGCTGGTTTTTTGGTTAGTATATTATACGGGTTTTGATTGTGTGGGGAAAGTTGTTGTGTGGTTGGGGGCGGAAATGGACTAGGGAAAGGGAGAGAGTTATAAATATTGTTGTTGATGGTCTAGTTGATGTAACTTTTTTTGGCTGATTTTTTGTAGAAAAAAAAGAAGAGGAGGAACAACTCGACCACAACCCTCGAAAAATGCTTTTGGGAGGAATTGTCGAAAAATTTGGGGAGAGGGTTTAAGGGAAATATTGAATGAAAAGGATTTATTTTTCATCTAAAAAGTTGGGGCAAGGATCGACAAGGAAGAGAGGGAGAGAAAGAGGGGGGGGGGAGGGGGTTGGAAAATGCGAGAATGAAATTTGGGACGAGAAGTGGAACACAATGAAAAGGAGGAGGATTTAATCACAAACAAGTAAAAATAAGTAAAAGTACAAGAAAATCACTGATTTAGAAAAACAACAAACACTGTGTGTGTGATATTCTATTGAAAAATAAAGAACTACTAGTCAAATTTGCTTTATTTTTCAATAGAAAAACTAGTCAAAAAATCCCTTTTTATTTAGACTTGCGCAGTGAAAAAATAATTCAATTTCTCTATTTTTAGTTTTGATAAGATTTTGTAAAAAATTATTTTGGCCAAATATTAAGGAAATATGTAGATGAATAATAAGTTAATTCAAAGAGGTGAAGAGGACTTTCCAGTAAAAGGACAAGGGAGAGAAGGAGTGAAAGAAGGGGGAGAGGGGGTTGTCAACGTTCTCAATGATCACAAAGATATGGTTACCCTTGAGGGTTATGTGAAGGTTTGGATAAATAAGCAGACATTAATATCTTCAAAAGATTGGGCTGACTCTGAAAGGTGGATTTGAGGATTTGAGTTGATAAGATGACTTCTTATCTAAAATGATCGAGCATAAAGACCAATAATAATGAAAAAATAAATTAAATATAAAATATTCAAATCTCTTAGGAGAATTCATGTTATTCAACACGAAAATAAAATAAAAAATAATTGTTAATCGCTTCCTTTTTTTGTTTTACCCCAACAAATAATTTACAGGAAAATTTCGTCATTTTCTTAATAAAAAAATAAAAATCGTAAAGGTATAGGTTTGAATAAAAAAAATATTATTCGATGACTTAATGCAATCAAAGTTTGAAAATTTTATTTTAAAAAGTCTAGAAACCGCTCGCGCATTGACATAACGCCCCATATCCCACCAACTCATGGCAGACTTTAAAATAAATTCAAAACTTGTTTTAAAAAACCAAATTTAAAGTCTAGATAAATAAAAAAAATCTTTTTTAAAGAATATTTGTTTTATTGTTGCAGAAATTTACACGTTTTTTGACAGACTAACAATAAAACAATGCTTCAAGTAAATTATTGAAAACTCGGGCAATTTGTCAAAAAAAGGATGGCTAACAAAATTTTTCTTTTATTTTTTTTAAACGAATTTGTGGATTTATAACAAAAAAAAATATCCACACAATTTAGGGGCAATTGACAAAACTAGAAGAAAAAAATTTTTTTAGGGAGTAATAGGAAGATGAGGGGAATGTTGAGGGAAGGGAACTTTAAAAAAGTTAAAATTAAATATTCAAATAATTTTTTTTCTTTTTTCCAATCAAAAAATAACCTTGTTAGACCCTTAACTATTTTTTTTAATTTTTGATTGCTTTTAAAAAATAAATTAGAAAGCTCGCAATAAATTTAGTCAGTCAGTAGAGCGAAGGGAACATGTAAAGTAGGGTGAAGGGAACATGTAAAGTAGGGTGAAGGGAACATGTAATGTAGGGTGAAGGGAACATGTAAAGTAGGGTGAAGGGAACATGTAAAGTAGGGTGAAGGGAGCATGTAAAGTAGAGTGAAGGGAACATGTAAAGTAGAGTGAAGGGAACATTTAAAGTAGGGTGAAGGGAACATGTAAAGTAGGGTGAAGAGAACATTTAAAGTAGGGTGAAGGGAACATGTAAAGTAGGGTGAAAGGAACATGTAAAGTAGGGTGAAGGGAACATGTAAAGTAGGGTGAAGGGAACATGTAAAGTAGGGTGAAGGGAACATGTAAAGTAGGGTGAAAGGAATATGTAAAGTAGGGTGAAAGGAACATGTAAAGTAGGGTGAAAGGAACATGTAAAGTAGGGTGAAAGGAACATGTAAAGTAGGGTGAAAGGAACATGTAAAGTAGGGTGAAGGGAACAAGTAAAGTAGGGTGAAGGGAACAAGTAAAGTAGGGTGAAGGGAACATGTAAAGTAGGGTGAAAGGAACATTAACGGAAACACAAAAATTTTAAAAATAAATACCGGGTTTTTGAAAGCGAAATAAGTGGGAATAATAATTTAAAAAATTTTTTCCTAAAATGGCACCTTTAGAGGAAATTGCCAAAAATGGCTCTAGAATTTATGGAAGATGAATAAAAAATTGGGGAAAGAATTTGCGCGGAATTTTTTAAAAATATTTTTTTAAATTTTTCTTCTTCAATTAATTATTTTTCGAAATATTTTCTACTAAAAATTTAAAAAATAAAATTTAAATTTCCTCACCAAAAGCTTGAGATAATTTACGTATAGCCAAGCTCGATTCTAAGAAAGGGTCCTTTGCAAATGTTTGACTAGGCAAGCAATCCAGTGCTGAATTGGAAGCATTCAAGTCAGCAGCCCCAAGGCAACTTGCCCTTAATTGTTGTTGATCACCAGGTAGACCACTACAAGAATTTGAACGAAGCCTAATCCCAGGCAAATCAAGACATGATGAAATTGAATTTTTGTGCGTATTACAAGAGGTTATGGATGCTTTGTGTTGATCAGTCATAATTTTTAATGTTAAAAGCTGGAGAGATTTTAGAATAAAAAAAAGTTAAAATTTAAGGAATGAAAAATATATCTAGGATTATTAATATTATGTAGTTCTAAATAATTATTAAAGACTAATGTCAACTCTGACAAAGGACACTCTAATTAGCAGTTAATATTAAGGTCGTCGGATTCAAATAGAACCGAACATTTTCGAGTTTGTTTCGGTTAACCGAAGAATTTTCTGAAACCGCAACTTACTCAAGTTATTGAGTAATAAGTACAGCTATGAGCCTAATATGTATTTAAATTAGAGCCCGGACGAAGGAGTCAAAATTCCCCCATCGAAGAAGGCAAAATTCTCTCGACAGGTATTTGTTCGATAAATATCGAAATTGAATATCGAAAAATATCTCGCATCGAGCCGGGCTCTAGTTTAAATTGGTTGCCTGACCCCCTCCGTATACTAAATCCAGCTAAATTTAATTTTCATTGATAAAAACAATTGGTAAATCAAGTTAAAAAAAAATTTTTCCTTTCAGTTAATAATATATAGGTAGAGATAATTGTTGGAAAATTTCAAGAAAATCATTAAAGACTTTTTCCCCAAGTAAATTAAAAATAATTTAGTTGAGATATCCATTATGCATTAAAAGCGTAATTAAAATGCGAGTTTAATGCCAACGGCAAAAGAAAGGAGAAAATAAAGTAAATGAAGATGGGGAACTTTGTAAAAATTGAAATAAAGGACTAACCATTTACCTCAAAAACAGCTTTATTTGTTCAACAGATGCCGAAGAAATTCTATAGGAGAAATTTAGCAAGGTTGGCCGCAAATGGGAAAAAATGTGTTTGTTTGAGGAGGATGAACCCAAATTTAAAAAAAGAGTGTTTTTAATGTTGAAGAGAGCCGTTTGGGGGTATTTTTTTGAAGGTAATCCGTCCAAATGTGCCCAAAATTAAGTGGTTTCAGAGAGGAAAGGGTGCTGACAAAATTCGATATATTTTAAAGTCTGGTCAATATAAAATGAAAAAAAGAGTTAAAAAAGGGAATGTGGGAGAAGAATAATGTTCGAATTGAGTAAAGGATGCTTTTGCTTTCCTTTTTCACCGAAAAAAAGAGAAAAAGTGCCACCGATGCTATTTGAGGGGGCGTAGGAGGTATGTGGAGGTGTATATTTGAAGAATACTAAAGGTGGAAGATGAAAGCAATGAATTGAATAAAAAAAGACAAAAAAAGTAGTTGAAGAAGGGCAATGTAAAAAATATAAAGGATATTACTCACAAATGTGGAAGGATTGCGCGTTAATAAAATGAAAAGAAAACAAAAAGAGCTGAAACAAAACAAAATTTCAGAATATTTAAATGAATTAAATAAAAAATGAATAATTAACTTTTATAAATTTCAAGTTTTAAAATATGCAAAATTCAAGTTTTAGAATTATTAAAAATGTTATGGAATTTGTAAATTTAAAGCTTACTACAGTATTTACTCGATTAAATCCCCTCTCTCGAATAATTCCTCCTGCTTCGGATGAGTTGAAACGATAATCCCCCACCCCCGAATACCCTACTACACGTTCAAATTTCAAAACTCGAAAAATTCCCCTCCCTTGAATAATTCCCCATGCTACGGACGGAATTGAAAAAATAATTCCCCAGGGGAATTAATCGAATAAATACGGTATTTGTGTAAAATTCAAGATTTACAATTAAAAAAATATTTTATAATTTGTAAAATTCAAGTTTTACAGTAATAGAATTACAATTTGTAATTTTACAGTGTAATATGTATTTGTAACAATAACGTTACATTATATTTATTAAACAACTACACACTATTTGGCTGTTTTACAATAGTAAAAGTTTGAATGTTATAAGCTTTTTCCCAATCAAATTATAATTATCTCTGTTTTACAATCATTTGAAAAATTCCAAAAATTACTTGACTATTTTAAAAATATTTTATAAAAATAAATTATAATTAGGGAGTATGCTGATATGCCATGGGCTAAAAGCTCAAAAATAGTGTTTTTACGTTGGTACGAACATTAGGGTCCGGGTTCCTATAGCATATTTTTGCATATTTCTGTACTTTCTTGCATATTTGCATATCTGTGCATATTTTGGCAAATTTTGCATATTTTGGTGCATATTTTGCGCTTTTTCGGTGCATATACATATATGCGCATATTTTCAGATTTTCCGTGCATATTTTGCCACTCCCTAATTATAATTTATCTATATTTTTTAGGCTTCTTTCTTTTGTATGTAAAAAAGAAACAGAGCTTTTTAAAGTTGGGTGGAAATTTAATAAAAATAAAAAAAGAGTTTTTTATTTAACTTAATTCCTGATTAAACCCACTCACAAAACTTTTTTTATCCAAAAAAATTTTTTGGATAAAAAAAAGAGAAGTCTAGTAAATAAATTTAAGAAAATGAGTATGTAGAGGTAAATTAAATCTAGAAAAAATAAAAAAAAGGATTGAAAAAAAGTAATAAAAAATTCTCTTAAAAATATTCAATATACACTCTGTAACAAAATGATAGCGCCACCTAGTTTTTATTAATATCTCACCAAATATGAAACGAATCGGTTTCAAATTTTGGTAGAATATAGTTAAGGATATTAAGTATCAATAATGTAAAGAAAAAGTTTAATGCAATTTTTAAAAAAAATTTTATGATAATAAATTTGATTCTCAAGTGTAACAAAAAGATAGCGCCACTTGTATTTTCGACCTTAGGAGTGGTCCGAAAAATCTACAAAAATTCCTGTAAACATATCTATTGATATCTATAGAAAATACAAAAGAAATAAAGTTTTTATATAATTCCTTCATTGAGATCTGAAAACCCAAAAATCAACGGAAAACGGGGGGTAGACGTCTTTAAAAAATATTTTCGACCCTTACAGGTAAGAGAAAAATTTAATTTTGGGCTTATTTGAAAGCCCTTGAAATTTGCTACAAGAAAGCATAAATTTTATTTTTCGGAAAAAATTCACCTTTAAGACATAATGTGATAAACTTTCAGGTCATAAAAATCACTGTAACTCCCCCAAGATGTGATGAAAATGCAACTTACAAACTAAACTCATTATTTCTCAAAAATGAATTTTTTCTGGATTATGAGATAAAAAACATTTTATAGCAACTTACAAGGGCTTTCAAATAAGCCCAAAATTAAATTTTTATTTTACCTATAAGGGGTCGAAAATATTTTTTTAATACGTCTACCCCGATTTTCCGTTGATTTTTGGGTTTTCAGATCTCAATGAAGGAATTATATCAGAACTTCATTTCTTTTGTATTTTCTACAGATATGATAGATATGTCTACAGGAATTTTTGTAGATTTTTCGGACCACCCTTAAGGTCAAAAATACAGGTGGCGCTATCATTTTGTTACACTCAAAAATCAAATTTATTGTTAGAAAATTTTTCAGAAAATTCCAACAAACTTTTTCTTTTCAATATTGATACATAATATCCTTACCTATATTCTGACAAAATTTAAAACACATCCGTTACATATTTGTTAAGATATTGATAAAAAACTAGATGGCGCTATCATTTTGTTACAGAGTGTATAAGAGGGGAGCAGGCTAACCTACCGCGAGCCCAACCTACCGCCGAGCTATAACTTTGTTCAGAATTGTCTAATTTGGGACGCTCTGGTATGGTTCGATTCAGCTCGTCGAGGCGCATCGAACCATACCAGGGTGTCCCTGATTCGACAATTCTGAACGAAGTTATAGCTCGGCGGTAGGTTGGCCCCGCGGTATGTTGGGGTGTACCCATATAAGAGTACTCTACTGACTGAATAAATTAAATTATCTTAAAAAAATAAATTTTTAACTTACAAATTGCATTTGACAGCTTTATCTATATTTAATATTTATGAGAGGAGGGAAAGAAAAATTGACAAATTATACTTTTATAAATATTAAAAAAATAATTTTTTTATAGGCATAGATACGCGCAGTTGAAAGAAAAATTGTGGCAAAAATTTTACCTTTTAAATTAAAAAAAATATGAATAATGAATTAATAAAAATATTTTTTTACACGAAAGTTATTTTAATAAAATGTTTTTTTAATTTAAAGGAGAAAAAAATTAATTATATATTTACCTAATTATTAGAGCCCGGATTTTTAGGCACGATAAAGTTAAAAATAGGCACCTATATAGGCACTAACAAACTGCCAAAATAGGCACTAAAATTTGAAAAAAAGGCAAAATAGGCAGGATTTTTTTTCAAGATTTTCCGACTTGTATTGACTAAATTTTATCAAAAATGATAAATCTAAGCAATAAGATGTTAAATAAATTAATATTGACTAGAGTTGTTGGCGACCGGTTATTAACCGGTACCCTCGGTTTTCGGTTATCGCCGGTTTTCGACCCCCGGTTTTCGGTTCCGGTTTTTGATTTACCCCCGGTTTTTGGTTAACCGGGACCGGTTTTTGGACAAATTTTCATCCAGAATATCCCATTAAGATGTAGTAACATTCCAACGCCTTTAAATAAATATTCTATACACTTCATCGGAGATTTAGGAGATGAGAAGTTATCAAGGCGTTGGGATGAATGATAGTATTAAGAGGTGTTGTCTAGGGATTTATAGGTCCGATATCATTCGAGGACTTTAAGCAACATCTCAATATATCCCTCCAATAACCCCGATTTCAACTTTCAGACCCGCAGGCGAAAATTCTGAAAATTTAGGTAGGCCAGGAAGCCAGATTTCTTCCATTTTGATAGCTGCATGAAAAAATTTTGTTTGAAAGGACAATAGCCATATTTCTTCTTTTTTACGGCCGGAAGCGAAATTTTTGAGAATTTTGGATGGCCTAGTCACCAGATTTCATTCGTTTCAAGCGCCGCAGGCGAAAATTTTGGAGAATTTTGGAAGTCCAAGAAGCCAGGTTTCTTCCTTTTTGAGCGCCGCAGGCGAAAATTTTGAGAATTTTGGAAAACAGTAGGTAAAAATTCGCTGTTTTCATTATATGTATTTCTCCTCATCTGT